TCAATTATTTCGAAAGTAAAGAAACTGTAGAGGAAAAGGAATAAGTAAAAATTTATAGGGTATATAAATTTTTCTATTAAAAAAGTAAATATATAAATTAAATTAAAGGTAAATGAAAAAAAAAAAAGCAAAATTAAAACAAAAATTGGATTACTTTTATTTAAAATAATCTTAAAAAAGTAATAAAAAAAACTAGAAATTCTTTAGGTATTTATCCTAATAATAAACTTGATGTAAAAAGACATATAAGATATAAGAGACTTTAAAAAAAAAAATATTAAAGCAAAAAATAATGTATTAAATTTCTATAAAGAAATGAAATATAATAATTTTTAAGATTAGTATATTATCCTTGAAGCTAATTAAAACGTAATATTAATTACTTTTAGCTATTAGTGATAATTTTAATATAAATTTCTTTTCTATTATTAATTGTAAAAAAAATACAAAAGCGTTATTTAGGTTATGAAATATTATAAACAAACTCCTTTTAAAAAAAAAGTTGATCCATATTATAAATTATATATAATTAGATATATATATATTAAAACAAAATTATAAGAATTTTTTTTAAAAAATTAAGAAAAATATTTTGTATTAAAATAATTATTATAAAAATACATAATTAGTATTTTAATAATAAAAGTAAAATAAATAAAAGTAAAAATAATAAAATATCTATAAAAATTATAAATTATTTTTAAAAATAAAATATATAAATCATAATTATATAATAGAATAAAATAACAGTAAATAATATATAAATTATATAAAATTATTATAAGTTTAGCCCAAAACGTATTTTTAATCTTGAATAATGTATTCATATAGATTTAGAATATTCAAACTATAAAAGATACTGGTTATAAATATTCGAGAATTAAAATTCGGGAAATTTTTATAAAATAAAATTTATGATTATAATTTTTATCAAAAAGATATCATTATAATTACGAAAAATGTGTTTAATAACATATAATAGTATTATTATTCATAAAATTTTTAAAAATATAAAAATAATATAAAGAAAAGTTGAAAAAGGTTATTAGTTTTTATGATTTTATTTAAATAAATAATTTTAATTATTGAATTATTATTAATATTAGAATATATTATAATTATTATAATTTTTAAATTTAATGAATTCTAAAAATTTATTATGGTTTTATTTATTTTATATTTGATTTTTTTTTTTTCACCCTTAAATTGTATTAAAAGTAAAGAAATTATATATTTTTTATAAATTTATTATAAGCTTTAATATATAAAAAAGTTGAGTAATTTAATAAGCAATTTAATTCAAAAAAAAATACATAAAAATAATTTACAAATTAAAAAGAATATTTTAAGTTTTTTCATTTTTGTATAATATTTTCAGCATTTTATGTTATTTTTTGTATTAAAGGTTCATAAATTATATTTATATTTCGTGGTTTGGCTTTAATAATCTTCCATTATAATTTTGTAATTAAATTTATAAATAAAGTCATTTAAAAATTATAAATTTATTTACGATAAATAAAATGTAAAGAATTTATTAGAATAAATTATCTCAATAAATATAATTTTCTAAAAAAAAATTAAATTCTTAAAAATTATGAATTGAAATTAAATAAAATTTTTGTATATTCTAAATAAGTGATAATATATTATAAATAAATGATTTCCTTAATAGATATTTAAAAAATATATACTTTTAAATGAAATTTATATTCAAAATCATAAAATAAAACATAATATTATTTGTACTAATTGATTTTAATAAAAAAAAACTTAATCAACAAAAAAAAGGGAGTTAAAAATTTTTTTGTTGTCTTTTTATTTTATTGAGTTTTTTTTTTTTTTTTAAAAAAAAAAGTTTAAGTAAAAATAAAAAAACATCAAAACAAATAATAATAATGAATATCAATCTATTATTAGGAATGAGTAATATATTAATAAGGATATGAAGTAATATTTTATTATATAAACTCAATGAATAATTTAATTTAATTTAATTTAATTTCCTGGTCATGAAAGATTTATATATAAAATAATCCAAATAATACTTAATAATTTTAATTACTTAGTTACTATTTCTAAAAACTTATAGATTGGGATTAAAATAATAGTATATTTAGTGAACTATTTTTTCAATTTAAATGATAAATAAATAAATATTTTTTATTCTACTAGATAAGTGTTTTTTATGATATTTATCGATAACCTAATTTTTTCTGATAAAGATTTATTAATTTAAGCTTAGTTATTATATTATTAATCGTTAGTGTGTATTTTTTTTTTTCATTTTAATATAATTCATTATATGTATATGTTTTTATTTATAAACTATTATTTTATTTGAAACTATTATTTTATTTGAAAAATATAAATATTCAATATAAACTTATATATGTTTAAAATTTTTTTAAATTATATTAAATAAATCATCTTTTTCTTGTTTTAAGCTTTTAATTACCTCTTTTTAATTTAAAAACTTTTTTAAATAAATAATCTATTATTTATTTTTATTTTTACTGAATTTTTTTTTTAAAAACATAATCAAAAAAATAAATGTGAGAAAAAAATTTAAATAATAAATGACTTTTATTTATTTTTTAAATATTACAGTAAAAATATATAAAAACAAATAATATATATATAATATTTTTGAGTCAATAATGATAATTTCTATTTAAATATTATAATTCTAAGCTTTTTTACTTTTTTTTTCACTTAAGTTTTCAATTTAAAAAGTGTTTTCTTATTCTATTTATTAAATTTTAGTTCTCAACTTAAATAATAAATTTTTTTCATAGGCACGATCTTTTTTTCTTTTTCAAGTTCATCATACAATAATTAAATTTCACTTTTTAAAAGAATTTTTAACTTTTTGTTTTCATTTGCAAAATTTTGATTTTAATCTAATAAAATTTACTAATTTATTATTAATTTCGAAATATCTTCTCTCATGTTTATTATTAATTAAATATTCTCGTCTATTTATTTACCAGAGTTTTAATAAATAATATTTTCATGTCCTTATTAGAAAGAAAAATTATCATATTTTGCCGTTTTTTATTCATTTTATAAAACAATATATTTTTTTATTTTATCTAAATTTAAATTTTCTTGTTTTAATTATAATATTTCTTATTAAGCTTATTTAAATTCTAATAATAAGCGATTATATAAACTTGAAATTTAATTAGTTTCTTAATAAAATTTATCTTCTTTTCTATATTTTTAAAAATAATTATTTTATTTGAAAAATATTAATTTATATTAATAAAAAATATTTTTTGATACAAACTTTTTTAAAATAATTTTTAGCATGTATTGCATTATTATTAATTATTATTTTAAAAGTTTTATTTAATTTAATCAAGCTCTTATTTTAATTAATAATTTTCTGTTTAATAACCTTTTGTATTTTTAGATTTTAAATATAAAAAATTATCAATATTATACTTTTTTTATCTTCTATAAGATCTTCTATTTTTCTTTGAACTTATTCAAATATTAATGACCATTTATTAAATATTTCATGTTTCTTTTCAAAATTTTCATTTAAAATATTTAATAAATGACATTTTTCTTTATATATATATATATTAATAATTTATATGTTTTTTGTTATATATTATTTTATAAAAGTCAAAAAACAAAATATATATAATAATTGTACAATTTTTTTCTAACAATATTATTTTATTAATTGAATTTTAAAGTATTATATATAATTAAAAGAGAAATATAAAAATAGTATAAATAAATTATGTTTTTTTTATAAAAATTATTATATTATTACTTTCTGTAGAAGCTGTTTAAATATAAAATTCTCTTGTATTACTGGTTTGCATATAGTTCTATTATATATTAAAATAAAAAATATAAATATTAAAAATTATTTTAAAAAATAATACATTTTCAGTCATTTTTTAAAAATTATTTAATATTATATATAATTATTTAATAATAATAAGTATTGTAAATTTTTTTTAATAAATATTTTATATTTTTAAAGTAAAAATAATATAAATTTATTATAAATAAACTAAATAATTTAAATAATAAATTGTTTTTAAAAATTATCTTAAATTTTTTTATTTATATTAAGAAATAAAATAATTAAAAAAATAAAAGTTATTAATTGATATTTTTAACAAAAATTTCTTTACTTAAATAAAAAATTTAATTATTATTATATTTATTTATTATTATATTTATTTATTTTTTATAAATTTAATAATTATTTATAGATTTTATTTAATTTTATAAAAATAAATATATATAAAATATTATTTATAAAAATTATTTAAAAAGATTTGAAATAAAAAATAATTTTAAATAAATTTAAAAGATATTTATATTTATTTTTTAATTTTAAATTATTATTAATATTTATATAAAAAAATATTATAAATATATATTATTTATTAATATAATTTAATAATAGTTTTATAATTTATTATTTATATTTATTATTTATTATTAATATTTATTTTTAATTTATTATTTATTTTTTATTATTATTTATTATTTTTTATTATTTAATATTTATTATTAATTATTTATTATTTATAATTTATTAATCATTTTTTATTATTTTTTATTTTTAATTTACCTTTTATTATTAATTATTATTTTATTTTTATTTATTATTTATAATATATTATTTATTATTCTTTTTATTTTATATATTTTTATTTTAATATTTTTATTTTTTAATATTACTTTTTTATTTTGATATATCTTTATTTATTTATTTTTTATATTTTATATTTTTTATTGTTTTTTTATTTATTATATTTATATATTTTTACATTCATATTATTATATTTATTTGTTTTTTTATAATACGATTAAATAAAACTATTAAAAATATATATTTTTAATATCTTTTAATTAATTTAATTTTTAAAATATTTAACAACAAATAATATAATTATTTTTTGTATTTTTTATTTATTACATCTATATATTACATACTTTATTCTTTAAATATTATTCATTTATTTTCAAATATTTTTATATGTTAAATTTATAATTGCTGATGTAGGAAATTATTTTTTATAAAATAATATATATCCTCTTTTTGATAATACTTAATCTTCTGAGGTATATTGTGCATTTTCATCATCAAATTAAACCCAACAATCGTTCTCATCAATTTTAACAAAGCTTGTATAATGACCTTTTTTTTAAAAAAATATATTTGTTAAATTCTTATTTAATTATTATATATTTTAATAACAAATAATATTATTTTTTAATAAAATTTAATTTTTTTATTTTAATATTTCAAAATTTTTTTTTTTCTTTCATTGATTAATTAAAAAAATAATACCTCCATTTCCATTTCCAATATGATTTATAACAGCAAACAAATCATATTAATCATCAACTGTGTTTTGATTATTTAATACGTTAGGTTTATGTAGCCAATCATTTAATTTTAATTTTTTAAGCGGGTATTTTACTAGATTATCTATTTTTTCAAATAGACCATTTTAAAATTGAAACCTGTTTAAATGTAACTAATTTATATATTTATCTAAAAATTAATTATTAGTATAAAAATTTACTATTAAAATATTTGGAAGTTTATGTATTTAAAGTATTGTAGATTATATTTAATTTAAATTGCATTTATCACATTTAAGTTCTAATTTTTCTTGTTTCGAAAATAAATTAAAGCAATTTTCAATAGGTATACCCATTTTATTTTCATTTTAATATTTTTTTAATTCAACAAAACTAAATTGAAAATTGTAATTAAAAAAATACAGTTTTTATAAAATAAAAGTATAAACCTTTTGTCTATCTAAGGTACCATACTTTATAATTTAAAACTTAAAGAATCTTTCCAATCAATTGCAACTTTTAAATCTGATGATTATAAAAGCCATAATAAAGGTACATTAACTAATCCAGGTTCACATCCTTTACAATATTCTTTTTATAAAAATTATTAATCTGAATATTATATTGGAAGATCACAAATCGCACATTTTTCTGTATTGCAATCCATTAATCTTAAGTTATAAGGGAAAAATTCAGCTATTGTTATTTTATTTTAATTTGTTTATATATTTTAATAATAAAATATTTACATTATAAAAATTAAATTGAATTAGATATATCTTAAGAAAAAGATTAATAATATTCTTTACAATTTAACATATCATTTTAAAAACTCTATTTATTTTTTTTTATATTAGATACTGGAGAATTATTATGTAAGTCATTATATTAATTATAAATAGTGGAGACTTCAAAACAATTATTAATAGCAGAAAATTAACCATATTTTTATTATTAATCATCATTATTTAAATTAATATTTGTATAAGATTTATGATGTTATTATAATTATAATTATTATAATTATTGTAATTATTATTATTATTATTATTATTATTATTATTATTATTATTATTATTAATAATAATTATTAAATTATTAATCGTTTTCCCCATTTATAAATTCATTTAATTTCTAATATCCTTTTTATATTATTTTTTATGATTATAGAATTTTAGTATTTTTATATTTTTTTATTAAATATTCGAAATCTATACATCTCTTTATTTAATTATATATTTACAAATGAAACTCCTTCCAAGTTAACCATATTGGAACTATTATACAAAATGGTAATCCGAATTTTTCCATTATTTTATTTTTATATCTTCTATTTACTATAGGTACAAAATAACCTATATTGTTCGGATATATACATATTTTTGAACGAAATGATTATATTCTTTGGCCGTCTCCTATAATATATTCACATTTAGTATTTGGTTTCTTAGTTAATTTTATATTAAAAAAATATTTATATTATTTACTCCATCCTAATTCATAACACGTATTTTGTATTAGATTTTCTTCATTTAGTTTTAACTTTCTTTAATATTAATATCTTCTATTTTAGCATGGACCCATACATTATTATATAAAAGAACATCAACAAAATCTCCTTAGTTCATAGATTTTTCATCATCATAAAATTATTTGGGTAACAAGCTATTTCTTTCTTCTTCTAATTGTTAAAACGATTGCAAAGTTTCAAAAGCTGCAATTTGGTCCTGTGAGCGAATTCCTAGATTTCTCATTGGGATATTAACATCTGTTTAATTAAAATTTTAATGTAAATTATGTTAATAGATTTCCCCAAAAATCAGCTTTTATGTATTTATACCACTTTATTTTTCAAACTCTTTATAAAAATCTCCTAATATTGCATTTTATTTTATTGTAATTCCAAATTTTATTATTGCAGGTACATAATCTTAATTTACTCTAGGTATATATGTCACTTCATAAAAGATATTTTGCTTATTTTTTTTAATTTTTTTTTCTAATATTAATCTAATAAATAAAATATAAAATATACACTTATAGGTAGTGGTAAAGACATGGTAAAAAAATCTTCATATTTATAGTTTATATTACTACAAGCGGAACATACAATAGTATTAATAGTTTAACCAATAAAAACGTCCTTTATTACTGAGTTTTCCTATATTTCTTCAACTTCATTATTTAACTCTTATTTTTATTAAATATTTTCATTTTAATTATTTATTAAATTTTAAACGTTTTTAGTATCAGCCTATTTTTATTTCCATACTTTTTTTATTTGTTTTACTTCTTCATTTAGATTATCTAAAAGTCCTTAAAGGAATTCTTAAGCATCTTATTATTCATAACCAGAAAATTAAGGCATAACAAAGTCAATAGCTCTTTTTAAATTTTAAGGTTATACAGGATTATATACATCATTATATGGTTTTTCATCAAGAATTTTTGTTAATTTTGATAATTCGCTTATAAGTGAATATTCATTCTGAATGTTATTATTAAAATTATTGCTAGTATTCATTGTTTATATGTTATTTTATTTTTTATTATCTTTTATTATGTCTAAATAGCCTTCATTTAATAAATATTAACGAAAAAAAGGAGTATAAACCAAACATTATATTACACAATTAATAAAACATGTATTTCCTAAATTTGCAAGTCCTATTATTTTTGGATTATATCCATTATTTGGTTTTATTAAATTATCAAAGCTATTTATTATCATTTAAGAATTATTTTTTTATATGTAATTATATAGTTATTATTTTTCAAACCAAATATCATTTTTGAAACTTTCCTTTTTGAAATGAATTTTTATTTAATTATTTCTTATTTTAATATAATGTTAAATTTATATGAAATATTTTTTTATTTTTTTTAATTACTTTATTTAATAAATATATCCTATTTTTTTTTTCCTTTCGGTAGGGTGATTAATATAAAGCATATCTCCGATTTCATAATAAGAATATTCATTTTGATTGTTTTCAAGTTCAATTTTAAGTTATTTTTGTAAGAATTTGGGTTCTATTTATTTATTCATAAAAACAAATATAGTTCCACTTTCTATTAAAAGATCAATTAATCTTTTTTCAATGTCAATTTCTTTTTCAAATTTAGTACCCAACTTTTTGTAATAAAGAATATCAAATTTTCTAAATTTCTATTTTTTTTGAAATTTCTTAAAAATATCTTTAATAGATTTCCAATTACTAATCATTAGTTCCTTTTTACTATCATAATCAATATCACCATTATTTTTTACTATATATATTTTTCTTTAAAAAAATTATTTATATATATTTTTATTTTTTACCAATATATCCTTATATAACCGGAGGATATAATTCCAAAGTCTTTATGTTTCTTTTTGGATCAAATATTTATTTTCTTTTAAATGCTGGCCCTCCTCCATACCATATTTATAATTTTTCCCATGCATTTTAAGGAATTACTACATAATCATGATTTAAAAGTATATTTTTTTACAATTCTTATTCATATTCTCCTTGCATATCTGAATTGTCAATTTAGGGAGGTCTGTCGCCTAAACTATGACCTCCGAATTCTTAAAATCTAATTAGATTAGAATTATCTTTTTAATTTTCGTCTTTGTCAAATATCAAATCTAAAGAAAATCCCTTACTTTGATTATTTGGTGATAATTTATTAAATGAATTTGGTGCTTGTATTTTTGGGTCTATTATAACTATTTTTTAATCCGAATTATTAATTTATTATTACTATTAAAATCCTTATACAATGTGATATTAATGTGCAGATTAAAAAGGTGAAACCGCTGGTGTAAAATTAGAATTATTTTTAGGAAAATCTGGAGATTTTGAAAAACTATTTTTTTAAACCTAATTTATATTTTCAAATTATTAATATTAAATTTCGCTTAGGTTTATTATTTTTAACTCCTATTAAACTTGATAATTTTCATTTATTTATTATGATTTTTCTTCTTAAAATTTTATTTGATTTTCATAAATTTCATTTCGCGAATTTTAATAAAATTAATTATTTTAGTCAATATTTTTGATAATTCCTTCTAAAGGATTATTATGATAATAATTTTAATTTTGATATTAATAATTATTTTCTATTTCTGCACCATCACTTATAATATCTTCTTCACCTCCTCTTATTTAATTTTAATTATTATTTGGTAAATCTACATTTATATATTTTTCTTATTGAGGAGATTAATAATAATCTTCTGGGATATTTTTTGATACCATGAAATCTACATTATTCTTAAATGCATTTGGTTCTAGATTATATTCCATGTGCTATCCATCATATCTTTCACTTGGTATTTAATTATTAAATTCAAAATCAATTAAACTATTTTTTGAAGGTGTTTAATTTATATTATTATCAATATTTTTTTAATTTATTTATTATTGTTCTATAAATTAATGTTTTTCAGATTTATTTTTTTCTTATATTTCCTATTATTTATCTTTATTATCATTTTTCTATAATAATATTATACTATTGTTTATTTATTTATCATTCTATTTTTATTTGTTTTAATAAGCATAATTTACATAATAACGCCATTTAAACCACCATTTCCATGAAATAACATAATAAACTTCACATTTAGTTTAACATTTTACATCATTTTTTTATTAAATTACATTTGATTTTATATTATTGTCTTTTTGTTTTTTTTCTTATTATTATTTAACTATTTATTTAATTATATCTCTTTCTAAAAAAGGATCAGGAACTATTTCAAAAATAGAAAAAAATTATTAAATATCAAAATATTCAACAGCCCATTTATGAAAAGTTTAAAAACTAATTTAGTTCTCATTTTTTAAATACAATATATTCAATATTTACTTTTACTTTTCTTTATTTAATTTAATATCTTTTTCTTGTAAAAAATATTGATTTTTAATATAAGAATAATTATATTTAATAAAAATAATCATTTCTTCTCTGTTTAAATAATTATCATTATCATTGTCAAAAAGTAAAAAAAGAAATTTAATTTTTTAATTATTATTGCTTTTACAACATAAAGATAAACTTTAGCAAAATTCACGAAAATCAATTTTCCCTCTTTTTTATGTATCGAAAATTTCGAATATCTTTTATCTAATCCTTTTTGGAAATCTTTATAGGGCAGGAAATATTCTATAAAAGTTTCTTATTTCTAAAAAATTATCACGGGCAAATCTGTAAAAAGTTCGCTTAAAATATTGTATAAATGATTTTTCCCATTAATCCACTAATTTATTTAATTCATCCGTGTTTAAATCTGGAATTAATTATTACACTTTATATTTTAATTTTTAATTTAATAGTTATTTATATTTAATTTCCTTTTATTTTATTTTTACTTTTTGCTTTTTGTTATTATTATCGAGATTTTATATTTATCGTTTTTTTAGTGCCACATAATATGTTGCCCATATTATATTTTTTTGTTATTTTATTATAAATATGATTGTTTTTTAATAAATATATATATATCTATTTTTTTATTTTAATTAAGTAATACACAATATATATTTTTTTATATATATATGAAATATTTGGAAGAAATAAAATATGAAATTAAATACTTATAAAAAATATAATATTTATGCTAATAATCACATAATATAAAATTAGTTTATTTAGTGAAATTCGGTTAATAATATAAATAAAATTAAATAAAACAAAATTATAGGTCTAATTTAACATCAAGTTTTGTTTGGTATGTAAGAAACTCTATTTTATAAATATTTTATATTTATTTTATTTTACATATAATTAAAATGATTTAGTTAAGAATAATTAATAATTTATTTAATTAATAAATAAATATTTTTATATTTTGAATATTTTGAATATTTATAATTATATCATTTTTGTAAAATAAATCTTAAATTTTTTTAACTTTTATTTTAAATATAAAAATTTATATATAAAAGTTTAAACACTATTTATTATTTTTTGTTTTGTTTTTAAAAATTTTAATAAAAATTATTTTTTAAAATAATAATTATCAAAAAATTGATTTATTATAAATTTAAGATTGACAAAACTATTTTTTTTTGCAATTATTTTAACTAAACTCAAATATTTTTTTTTAAATAATAATAAATATTATTAATTACATTTAAATAAAAACTTATAAAAAAGTTAAAAAAAATATAAAAGTATATATAATAAAAATAATAATATATTTATCTAAATATATTAAATTTTTTTTTTTTTGTTAAAAGATACACTTTTCATTTTTATTTCTTACCTCTGAATAAAGATATGAGAGAAATACCTTTGACTGAAACAACTTTAAATCTAACACCCGGAATATCACCCACAGCATGACCTTATCTACCAAGTCCGGCAACAAGAACTTCATCATTTTCAGCCAAAAAGTTAAGGCAACCATCCCAAGGAACAAATGCAGCAATTTTTTTAGAATTTTTTCTAAGTAAAACTCTTACGCACTTTCTGACAGCAGAGTTAGGTTATTTAGATTCAATACCAATTTTTTCTGTTACTAATCCTTTGGCATGAGATGCTCCCATAAAAGGATTTTTCCATCTTGAACCTAATAATCTTTTATTGTAATCATTATCTGCCCATCTTTTTTTTTAATTATTATTGCCTATTTTGATTTCGTTTATTTTAATTTATTACCTTTAATCTTTTCTATGTCTTGATAGCTTTCTACCAGCTCTAATACCTCTAGGTTTTCCACTTCCCATTATTTATTATTTTTTAATATTTTTTTTTTTCTCTTTTTTAATTATATATATAAAATTAAATATTTATTTTAATAATTTATTTTTATTTTTTAGCTTTTTTTAATTTTACACTTAAAAAATTTTATTTTTATTTTTATTTTGTTAAATATGATAATTATTAGATTTTTTTATAAAAATATTAGTTTTAAAATTAGGATTCAAATTAAGATGTTTGATTAAAAACAATAAAAAATCAAATAATAAGCTTATATTAAAATTAATGTATAATTCTAGTTTATGAATATTTAATTTTTATTATTTAAAGCTAAAAACACTTAAAAAAAAAATTAAAAATATAAAAATGATATTAAATAAAATTAAATATCTATATTTTAAATATAATAATTATAAAACAACTATAAATACTTTCTAATCAACTATAATACTGTAATTAATATATCTTATATATTTATATAAGTTTATCTAATTTACTTTTTTTTGAAAAATAAAAAGTAATTAATAATTTTTATATAAAAAAGTTAAATAATTATTAAAAAAAAAAATATTAAATATATATTTTATTTAATTTTTTGTAATATTTATTATTAATTCATAATTCAATTATTAGAATAAAGTTAGATTTATTTAATCTAAGACATTTATTAATTATTTTCTTTAGAAAATTTAATTTATGGTTGGTTGTTTTTCTGAATTTTTAATAATTTTCGTGTGAATTTCTTAAAATTTAAGATTATAATTATTTAAATTTTAGACTTTAGAAATAATTATTGCAAATAAGTTAATTAGAGAACATTATTTTTATGTATTTTTATTGACGAATATATGAAATAACATATTAATTAATAGTTATCATCTTAACATTTTTTTTTTAATAATTTTTTTAAAGTAAATTTTCTACATAATGCCATCCACATCTTTAAATACTATTCAACTTTAAAAATATAAATTCTAAAGTTATTATTTTTTAAATTTAATTAATCAAATTAGTAATGAAATATTCATTAGTTTATATTCAACCAAATTATATCAGTGGTCATTTTTTATTTATTTTTTGTTTTTAAAAATAATTATTTGCTTTATAAAATTTTATTTATATAAAAATATATTATTTTTTTTTTGTTATTAATTAAGATGATTAACAATATAAATTAAATATTCTATTTATTTTAATAAAATACAAGAAATAAAATATTTTAAAGCATTTCATTAAAAAACGCAAAGTTTAAAGCCAAAAGGAACTATTTTGTTTTAAAATATATTTTCTTTTTTACTACTCCTTGGCATAATATTAACTAAATTAGAAATAATTAAATTCGTTTTGTCATTTATTTTCAATTAAAATGATGATTAAACTTAAAATTTGTCATCAAGTTCAACTCTAAAGATAATGTCTTTCAAACCTGTATATTTGCATCCTAAATTCATATTAATTTTTTAACTTCTTGTATCAAGATTAGATTATATAGCAAATATTAAATTTTGATTCAATTTTTTATACAAGTAAAATTAGAAAATACTATAATATTATTAGGAAAAAAAATTATAATATTATTATTATTAATCATTTGCATTCTCATTTTTTTCATTTTCCTCATACCTATTTGATTCACTAATTTAATTTTTTATTTTATTTTTATAATTTTTTTTTTTTTCAAAAATATGAATTTTTTTTACATTCTTAATTAAAATAAGGAATATCTATTTTATTGGAAAACATAAGAAAATATTTATTTATTAATATAATTATTCTTAAAATCATGTTTTAAAGAGATATTTACAAAATACTTGTTTTCTATCATTGTTTTCAATTTAAATTAAGCTTCGAAATTTTCCAAATTAACTAATGTCTAAATCATTTAAATTATATTTTTTATATATTTACTTTATATGAAAGTTGATTGTAATTTTTTCTCAATCCAATTTAAGAGTTTCTTTGATTATTTTCTTGATTTGAATAAAATTTTATTATTAGCCAATGTCCGTTTATAAATTTCTTTTTATAATTATTTTTTATTTTATATTTTTTTACTTAAGTTAATAAGCGATTTATTTTAAATGATAAATCTTAATTAAAGTGTATTTTTTTATGTAACTCTAAATCATTTTATTTATAATATAAGTTTAATAACGCATTAGTGGAAGGCTTTCCTTCTATTTAATGTGAAAGTTATGAATTAATATTCTTTTTATAATTATATATAATTTAATAATAATCATTTTTTAAAAATATATTAATTATTATTTTGCTATTTAAAATTAGTATTTATTTTACAAATTAATTATTGATTTTATGTGTGAATTAAAAAGTGAAAAAATCTTTAATATTTAATGTATTTTCTAAAAATACATCGGATAAAATTTCTTTTTAGTATTCAAGATTCTATTACATTTATTTTATTTAGTTATTTATTCAAAGATTTTATTTATATAAATATATTATATTTTTAAAAATATTATAATAAATAAATTATATATAGCTAAAAAAAATTAAATGCATTTTTATATCTTTAAATATAATAATCTCCCTCAATTAAACTGAAAATATAAAAAAAGAAAGAAAAAAAAAGCAATAACTATTTTTTTAATTTAAATGAAAATAATTATTTATATATATATTTAATAAATAAATTAAAAATATGTTAAATTTTTTTTGAAAATATAATATTTTAATACACTATAATTATTTTTAAAATATAATTTATTACTTAACAATAACTACACAAAAATTCGAGTGTATATTAAGTATAAAATTAAATATAAAAATATTTCAATATATATATTCACTTAAATTTAACTTAACTATTTCAAGTTTTCCTTCAAATAAAACTTTGCTTTTATTTTCATTATATTCTTCAGAATAAACAACTCTATTAATACCCTTATTTATATTAATAAAATAAAAGAATAAGATAAATATTTAAATTAATAAAATAAAAGAAATGAGATAAATATTTATATTAATAAAATAAAAGAATGAAATAAATAGAATTACACTTTAAAGAATAATTTTAGCACACCAATTACAAGGAAATAAAGTGGTATATATACATGCCCCTTTTGTATGTTTAATTCCTATTTCTAAAATACAATTTTCCTCAGCGTGAATACATACACATTCAATTAAATCTTTTCCTTATTAAGTATTTTCTACACATCTTTTGCATCCCCCTTCATAACAATTTAAATGATGTTATGAGGTTCCATTATATCCAGTTGATAATATTCTATTATTAAGTGTTATTATGGCACCGACACTAATTTTTTATAATAAATATGATTTGTTTATTTTAATATACCTTCTTTTGAAACAGTTGCTTCTTTTTTTTGTTTCATATGCTAATTTCATAAAATATATATCAAAGTTTGGTCTAAAATCTCTTATTATCATTTTTTAATTCTCAATTATATTTTATTTAAAATGTTTCAAAGTTTAAGTATTGTTAATATTAAATTTAGATTAATTCATTATTTTTTAATAGTTGAACTCATAATAAATCTATTTAATATATTGTGGTATATAAATAGTTAATTTTAAAAATTTAAGAAAATATGTTATTCTTAGTTAATTATATAAATCTTATAAAAAAATTAATTTTATATTTTAAAAGTTAAGCCTTATTATTAAAAGTAAAAAAATAAGAAAAAAATTCATAGGCTCAACATTATTTATAAATATTAAATAAAATATAATTACTAAATCATCAACTAAAGCAAATGTTTCAAAATCAATAAAACTAGAAATTTCTTTGTATTAATTTTTAAATTATTAATATCTTTTATTTATTGGGGCATCAACAGAAACCAAATGGAAACTGTTTCTTCTTTAAAGTAATTAAATTTCTTCTAGTAATGTAAAGTTATTTATTATATTATTTGAATTTAATTTTTATATTTATTAACAATTTTATTACGATTATAATTGAATTTGCTGATTTTATAAGCACAATTCCTTTTTTACTAATTCCTAAATTTAATCTTAATTTGTAAAAGGATTTTTTTATCTTTCTTATTTTATTTACTAAAATATTTAGTCAAGATTATAAAATTAATTATTTATATTTTAAAATTCGAAATCTTCGCTTAATAATTTACTAAATTCGGTTTTTCCACTACAAATTCTACCTACAACCCCTATAATTATAAACATTTGATTTTATATATTTATTTTATATTTAATAATATAAAAAATATTATATTTTTATTTATAAATATCAATATTTTATTTAATTATTTTAAAATTAATTTCGGCCAAAGATTTTTAATTACACAAATATTTAATGTTATATTAAGAATAAAATATATATATATATATATATATATATATATATATATATATATATAGATAATAATAATAACTAGAAATAATTAAAACACAAAATATTATTAATAATTGTATAAAAGTTATGACATATTTATATTTTTCTCATTAATTCATTAAGGCACAACCTAATTAATTTTAAAAGTGTTTTTAAAATCTTTTTTTTAAACTAAATATTAATTAAACAATTTTTTTTTTTATTTTCTATCAAGTTATTATATTTTCTCCAATTAATCTCTTTTGCTCTTAATTTTCTTCGTTTTCTATCCAAAAAAGAATATAATTTTATATAGCTTAATTTTTTATAACAGGATTCATTCTATCATATTCTTATTAAAGATAACCTTTTTTTTTAGCATCTTCATAACTAATAGTTTCAACATTATTAATTTCAATAGAGAACATTTTTAAAATAATATTATCTAGAGGAGCCAGTTAAAAAATGATACTTATTAAAAGCTAAATGACACAAAAAGTAGAAATATCATCTGTTAATCTCAATTCAAATACGAAGCATCCAATAGAAAAAATAAATATGATAAATTTCAAATAAAAATCACAAATGAATTAAGGTAAGCTATTTCCAATAGGAAAAGGCATGCTTTATCTTCTTAATAAATTATATTTATTAGACCAAAAAGCAAAGAAAATTGCAAAAATACAAATCGGAATTCCTAAGGGAATTATATAAAAATAAAATACCCCTAAAAGTAACGTATTTACTTATGAAGCATATTTTTAAGCTAATTGAAATTTCGGATATTCATGAAGGCTATTAATTTAAATTTAAGTTTTTTTTATTAGTCAGTTTCTTTTTTCTTTTTAAAATAATATATGCTTATTAGTTAATATATCCTATTAAAACTCACAAATTCCATTATTATTGGAACTATTGCATTCGTTATCATAATAGAAGTTACTCTTGGTACTAAACCTCCAGAGGCTATATAAGATTAATTATTTTGTTCATCATTTACAAGCAATGTTACTATTGTAGTATTTAAAAATTAAGATAGTCCCAAATATTTTGCTATGATTATATAAGTATCTGTTTTGAAGTTATAAGAATTAAAATCAGCGAAAATTGTTATAGTAAATGATAAAATACTATTTACTAAAGTTATAAATAATGAAGCTACAAAACCTAAAAATTACATTCTTATATAATAATCTTTTTTTAAAGGATCATATACTTTTTTAAATTACTATTAAAAAATTGAAATATCTAATATAATATAAAAACATCCGACCAATAATGCCGAAACAACCTTTTTTTTGTTAATATATATAAAATATTATTTTAAATAAAAAATTAACTAAAGGAGTAATAATTCTTCTTATAATTTTAGAATTTGTAGAAACTTAAAGGTTTATCCATTAAACATCACCTGGTTCAGGAGCAGGAACAACATTGATTCTTTTTCCTTTCATTAATTAATTAGAAGGGGTAAGAAAGTAGAAAAATTAAGAAATAAAGGATTTTTTGAAAAGTTTAAGTGCTTATTCTTTATTTTCTTCAAAGTCAAATGTAATAAAGGCATTTCCACTAAAAATTTAGTCAAAATTTTCATCTTCTTTTAAATATCTTTATTCAAGTTCTTCTAATTATTTTATTAATTTAGGAATTTATTATTCTTCTGCATTTTAAAACTATTTTTTTAATTATTAATATTCTTCCAAGTTATATCCCAAAACAACTTTTTTTACACTTCCTTTTTTTTAATTTTTTCTTCAATAAAATCTTTTATTTCTTAAGAAGTTGTATTCCTTGGGATTTAACTAACAAATAAACTAAAATCGCTTATAGAAACATCACTTTTATCAATATAATATTATGTGATTAATTATCTTCTTTTATATATTATACTATATACAATTAAAACTAAACAAGTAAAAAAGTTTAAAATAGAACTAACTGTATCAGGCTTCTCTAAATATTAGTTAGCTTTGGAAAGCTTATTAATAAAATTATTTTAACATTAAACTTCTTAATCGAATTATAACTCACTACATTTGTTTCCACTTTCATTTATTACTAGGCTATATATTCCTGTTATTATTAGTATAATAAACAAAAACCCCATTCCATATCTTAAAAATTGAAAATATAATGGGTAAGCGGGTCCTAAATGTGATAAGTTTAAAGGGTTTTCCCATAATGATACTCTGTAAGAATTTGGATAGGCTACTTGAGTACAGCAAGGGCATATTTAATTTTCATCAATTTCTTAATTTAGTTATATTTATGTTATTTAGTACTCATTTTTATACACTCTTGTTGCCTTTTAATGCAAATGGGCTATATTCCATGAATAGAATTTAGAATGTTAATCAAAGAATGCCCCATCATTTAAAAATGTTTAAAAATGAATTGTTTGTATTTTTCGAATATTGTTAAGATGTTAAGATTACTCATTTATATTTTTTGTATTGGAGTTTATATAGGAATTTTTATTTTAGTTTAATTAATCTAGAATTTCTATTTTTTAGTCGATTTCCTTTTACTGATTCTTTTCTATTTGATTTTACTTATTTAAGCACAATAAATCTTGATTCGTATTATTTGATTATACTAAACCATTGCTTTTTGTGTATTAAATAACTTATTTATTTTCATTTGATTCATCTTCATCTGTATTATATATTTATAAACATATATAATATTTAATAACCTTAATTTAAATGTGTTAGCATTTTTTATTACTTAAGTTTAAAATATTAAAATAATAAAAATTAATAAAAATAAATCTTATAACTTTTAAAAAATTTTTATAAAAATTTATATAATTAAAATAAATATATATATAATATCTATAATAATAATCATACAAAATTGTTTGTATATATATAATTCCATATAATATAATAAGTTATTTATTATACATGAAAACAAATTTTAGTATTATTATATTTTTATAATTCAAATTTTAATATTATTGTATTCTTAATACGAAAATGAAATAATAATATGTTAATATTTATTTTTTTAAATTTATACTATAATAACTTATAATTATTATTATTTTTTTTTTAAAAAAAAAAATTGTAATATGATCTTTAGAAAAATAATATAAAAATGCAATTTAATTCATATAATATATAACTTTTTATATTTAGTTTCTTAATTAATTTAATTCATATAATATATAATTTTTTATATTTATTTTCTTAATTATAATATATTTAAATATAAAGAAATAAAACAAATATAAGATTTTTTAACAATAAAAAAAAATATTTCTTAAAAGAATTGAATATGATGACTTTTTAATTAATAATATAATTTATATTAAATAGATCTAAAATAAATATGTTTATTTAAATAAAATAATTTTTAGCTATTTGAATTTCGGCAAATCAAAAAATTAAATTTTTTAATAATAATAATAATAAAAAAAAGAAGAAATATAAAAACTATTTTTAAATATTTAATAAATATAAATAAAAAAATGGCAAAATAAATAATATGAAAATATTTTCATAGAAATGTCCAATAAATACCATCTTCATCTCTATAAACACCTATTTTATTTAAATCGAATCTTAATTTATCAACCATAACCCAAATATGTTCATCAAAATCATCTTTATATTTATTTTAAAAATTTTCTTGGCATAAAGAAACATTAATAACATTATTTTGATCTTTTTCTAATTATTGAACAAGTTCTTTAAATATTTCATTGGCTATTTTTCTCTTTTTAAATGTTTGTTTGATTTTTCGCAAAACAATAAAACTAAATATAATAATAAATAGGCTACCTGATATTTCTAATTAATGTTATTAAAATAGTAACTGAATTTTGCATAAAATATTATATTTAGCAAAATCAGATTTTAATTATTAATCTTCAAAAGTAAATTTATAATCTATTTAGTGTTATTCATTATTTAAAAACTTAATTAAGTTATTTTCTAATAAAGGATCGCTTTTAATTCTTTATTAAAGTTCCTTTTAAATATCTTACAAAGATATATAATTAACTTCTTAATTACCATAAAGACAGAATTATTATCCATTTTTATACTGAATGCCGTCAATAAGCTCTAATGCAAAAGCCTATGTACTTTTAATTGTTTCTGGATTTAAATAACATTAATGATAAAAACTTTTTATAAATCCAGGCTCACATTGCATAATGCCATTTTAACAAATAGCTTTTTCAGGACATTTCAAGCAATTATTTTATTATTAGGATGAAGATAAACAAAAAACAGGCAAAAAATATGCTAATAAATGAATATAGAATTAAATAAAAAGAACAAAAAATAAAAAATAGAGAATATAGTATGTACATTTTTAAGGTTTGTATTCATAGTTTAAGTCGTTTTTTAATTCACGGTTTATTTTCTTAAAGTATTTTCGATAATCATCTTTACTTTGTTATGCTAATTTGTATTTTTTCTTTAAAATTTACTCTTTGGGGTTAATAGGTAATTATTGAATTTATTTTTATTATAATTATATAGGTTATTATTATTATTATTATTATTATTATTATTATTATTATTATTATTAATTACAGGATGTTTTAGATGTATTTTTCTCACGCCATTCGTTTTTTTATGCATTCTATGCAAAGTTTTTTGGAAGTTTTACTTCGTTTTAAGTTTATTTTTAATTAGAAAGTACTTTCTGATATTTTTCAGGATTTTTTATATAATCTAAATAATTTGGTATTTGTTCTTCTTACATATTTATTTTTATTTATTTATAAATTTTTTATTTTATTTTTCTTATATAATATTATAATAATTATAATAATTTTTTTTATTTAATATTTAAGATCTTAATTTTTATCAAAAATATTATTTATTAAATATTTATAAAATCTTTTTTAAAAATATAATATTTTATATAGAATATTTTATTTTATAATTATATGTTTTTTTTTTCTAAAATATTTGAAAAAACATTATTAATTTTAACTTTTAATTTAAATATTAATTTAATAATTAATAAAATAATAAATCTAATGTAATTTATTTATATGAAATTTATTTTATTTAAATATTTTTTTTTTAATAATTAAGAATTTTTTTTTTATAATAATTTTTTTTTTATATTATAATTTTATATTTAAAATAAATAAAACATAATAAAATTAGAAAAATATCTTTAAAATAATAAATATCAAAACTCATCATATAAAGGATTATTCATAGGTATATTTTTAGGTCTTAAAGAAATGCTATTTAGATTCCTAGAAGGATCTTTTTTAAGAGCAGTAAATAAATCAATATTAAGCATTTTATTATATTCTTCATAACAAAAGCTTGGCAAATCTTTATTATTTTCTCTATCTTTTTTATAGAATTATTCCAATTACATCAAAATTTTAAGATCAGAGAATGACTCTTCTTCTATATAATCTATAGGATCAGCAATTTTTTCAGCAATAATATTACGATGTTATTTAATTAAATCTTCCTTCCATAATTTTACAAGCTCACTAATTCTTGATGGACAATATGATTTAGCAAATAAAGCAGCTTCACTATATCTTTTACTTTTAATTAAGATTTCAATGCATTTATCTAAATTAGAAAGATAGTAATTAATTTAAAAAGCAATATTCTATTTTATTTTTTTTTATTTTTAATATAAATATATATATATTAATTCAACCATTTTAGTTTGCTGTTCAGCTTTTTAAGCTAAATCTTAAAGCTGATCATGTAAACCTAAGGAAGAATAAATTAATAAAAGACTACCTAGATCATCTGAGTTTCTAAAGCATTAAATTGCTAGATTTATATTACCTTTAAATAATGCTAAATCGCCTACCTTAATTTAAAAAATAAAAATATTATAAATAAAAAAATACTTATTTCATTTAATTTAAATTTTAAGTCTTTTAAGCAATAAAATTTGCTTCATTAATATTTCCCAATTATATAGCTAATTCAAATTTATGTTCATTATCTGTAGTTATTTCAAAAGCCAGCTCCTTTTTTTCAATCGAATCTAAAAATTTAGCTAATTTGTCATAATATTTTTTATCAATATTTTCTATTAAAGCCTATGCCTTTTCAATTTCTTCACTTGCTGCATAACTTTAATATTAAGCAACTATTAAAGGAAACTCAAATGAAGAAATATTAAAAAATTTATCGAATAAATAAAGACGATTTTAAAATGAAACATAACCTACAATAATTCTTTTTTTAAAAAAAAAATAAATAAATAAATATTATTTTAGTATTTTTTTTTTTTTTTCACTTTTTTTTATCTGTATATGCAAAAGTAAAAGTTCTTCCGATTAAAGAATATGAGATTTTTCCAGTTCCATTAGTAAAAAAGAACATTTATTAAACCCAAATACCTGAATTAATACTTTCATTTATTTCGTATTATAGTTCAAAAGCATCCTCGAAACCTTCTGCATTTTCTTCTTTTTATAAAAGTTCTTTTACTATTTCATTTTTATATTCAAGGACATAAAAATCTTCACTTGAAGCGATACATAATAAATTATTATTTTAACTCCAATATAGCTTTTTTACTTAAGAATCTATTCTTCTCACTATTTTTCCAGTTTCCCAATCATAAAATATTAAAAACTCATTACTTTTAACGCCACTTTTTTATATATTTTTAAATTTTAAATATTTTTTTTTTTATACATTAAAGGACCTCCAAATAAATTTTCAACTTAATAATTGGTTTTTAATTCATATAATAATTCATTATTTGCCTTAAAAACTTTTATTATAAAATTATCCTTTACTGCATAATCACCATTGCTTGCCCAAATCAGATCTGAACCTTATCCATGCACTTTGAAAAAAATATGAATATTCAATAAAATTAACACAAATTACTAATGCTTTTTAATGTTGTGGATCTATATATTGAATATTCCTAATCATTAAAAATTGCAAAACTATGGCCATTCGGAGCATGCCTTATTCCCTTTAAAAAAATAAAAACTTAAACAAGTACTTTTAAATGTGTATACGACAGGATAAAAGTCAGAAGTTCCTAAATCTTTAGCATTAATGCCTTAAATATTATCTCCTTCTTTTGTATTATCTTCATTTATATTAATGGCTTTTAAATTAACGGTGAACATATCTAAATTTTTAGCATAAATCATTTTACCATTACTTTATTATTGAAAAAAATAACTAAATAAATAAATAAATGAAAATTACTTCAATGAAACAACAGGTTCATCAGAGCCAATTTTAACAATAACAGAGCCTTCATCACATCCAATGGCAATAATATTTGAAGAATCTTTACAAATATCAACGGACCAAACCCTATCTAAATTATAATTTAAAGAACTCTCTAGTTTAAAAGTTTATTAATGCCAAATTTTTACAAAACCATCTTCGGCAGCTATTTTTTAAATATAATTTAGTTATGTTTTAATAAAAAAAAAATATAAGGTTAGAAACCAGTAATAATTATGGGCAACTCAGGATGAAAAAGTGCACAAGAAATATTTTAAGTATGTCCTTCTAAAGTATGAATACATTATTTTGTAGAGCAATCCCATATTTTAACTTATCTAAAAATAATAAAAATATAGCTAGAAATTATATTAATAGTAAAAACCTATCATCCCCTCCTGAAATTAAATAATTATTCTCTCCCTTATGATAATCTACACAATTAACACCTTATTCATGTCCTAAAAGTGAAAAGTTAGGTTTATTATTCATAATATTCCATACCTTTAATATGATATTTTATTTTTAGCAAAAACTTTAAATTTATTAAAAAAATACTTTAATTGATTTATCAATAGAAGCAGACGCAAAAATATTAGAATCTCTAGGATTAAAATTAAGCATCATAACATAATGCTAATGTCCTTCAAAAGTTCTAACTAAAGTGAAATTATTTTCAAAGTCCCACATTTTAATACTTGCATCATCTGAACTACTTAATATATAAGGTTCGTTTGGATGAACTAATATGTTTCTAATATAATCTGAATGTGCTTCCCATGTTTTTATTTTTTCAATTGTATTATAATTATAAACTCTTATACATAAATCATCTGAACCTGCTACAATCCATTATTTTCTTACTATAAATTTTGCTGTTCTAACTGGATTTGAGGAGTTTTCGAATGTTTTTACTGTGCTCTTTTTTATTTATATTATTATTTTATTTTCTAATTTATGTTTTTTAAATACTTAATTAGAATAATCGTAAATTGCCAAATTACCAGAATATAAAGATACTATTACCCAAGGAAGCTCAGAATGTAGTTCAATACATTTCACTCTTTCTGAGCGACTTATCATTTTTTTCTTTATTTCAAATTTTAACGGCTTTTTTATTTGTATTATTTTAATAGTAATATTAATTTTTTGTTGCTTTTTTTTTATTTTGATACCATTTTCTTTGTAGTGTTAATTTTTTATATTTATATTTAATAATAATTAATATTATTTATTTAATATTTTTTATATAAACATATAATATATCTTTATTAGATTTAATTTTTTTAAATAATAAAACATATTTATATAAATATACTAATCATTTTAATAAAAAAATTATAAATTTTTAGAAAAAAAAAAAAAAAAAAAGATTTTATAAAAATAAAATATTATATTATTTTATAAAAAAAAAAATGTTAAATTAAAAAAATAAAATATAATAAAAATTATTTCATTAAGTAAATTCCTCATCACTATCTTATTCAATACCTTAAAGTTAATCTAGAGCCTATATATCTTTTTGATATTGCTTAACACATTCATCATACAATGCTTAATTATCATCAACTAATTAAATTAACTTTTCACCATCAAAATCCTCATCTTTAATTGAATATTTTTCCATGAATTTTTTTATATCATTTTCATTAGGAAGTATATATAAAGGGGTTAGCATAATAATGTTAATAGTTGTAAAAAGTTTCTAGAATTATAGTAAATCGGCCGCATTATGTAAAGAAGATAAACCGATAGCAGTTTTGACTGCATCTCCTTCTTTAATAAAATCTTTTAGACAATCATATGATTTTTCGCTGATATTTTCTCTTATAATTGCACTTGTTTAAGGGAATTTATATTGCATTGATTATTAATCATAATTATGTATTTAACAAAACTCTTTGATTTTAATTAATAAATCATATTCTATATCTACTGGAAAGGCGGACATATGATCAGGGCAATTTAATATTAACTTAGATAATTCAATAAATTAATAATCGAATTCTACTTCAATATTTTCTTTCGATTTTAATAAAATTTTATTTTTATCTTAATCCATTTTTTATTATATTAGATTTATCTTTTCTTTTTAATTTTTTTTTAATATAATATTTTTCTTATAATATTACTGATAAAAAAAAAGGAAAAAAATCATTTAAATTTATAAAACAATAAAAATGTAAATTAAAACATGCACAAAATATAAAAAACCAAAAACAAATTCACAAATCCTCTTCTATTTTAGGAAATTTCCAATCGAAAATAATTTTTTTAGGTTCAGAATTTTCATTATCTAATTCAATTGCAATAGCAGAGCAATTAGGATAAGCATCCTATATTCCAATATACCAAGTCAAAGAACACATTAGTCCACCATGAGTAAAAACTAAATGATTACCCAAAGGTAACTTTTAAAAAAATTAAATTGCTCTTTTTCTTGCATCATGCCAACTTTCTCCTTCTATTGCTTTAAAATCAATATTATTAACTAATTATTTTCTTTATTCAGAAAGAGAATCAAAATGAATTCCTTCTTCTTTTCCAAAATTTAATTCTCGTAATAATTTGTCTTAAGTAATATTTTTTTTATCAAAGAAACCTAAAGCTATTTGACAGGTATCAATTGCTCTACTTAAATCTGATGAATTTATTGATGTAAAATTACTTATATTTGAATGAAAGCTTTAAAATAATTAATGTGATTATTATCGGCCTTTTTTTGTTTTTTTTATAATTTTTTAGTTTTTTTTCATAAGTAACCTTTTAAAGTTAATTTAGTATCTGTCCATCCGGTTAATGTGCCTGAATAATTTCCTAATGTTTATCCATGCCTTACTAAGAGAATGTTTTTCGAGTTTTTTAATTAAACGAATTGTTTTATGTTTTGCTCTAAAATTTTAAATTACATTATTTACAAAAAAAAGTTAAAAATATTTATATTTTATTTAAAAATTATATCTTTAAAAAAATTTGGATTTTATTTAATAATAATATTAGCAAACTTTTAGAATAAATGTTTGAGATAAACATTAATATAAAAAAAATAATTAAAAATATAATATTAGTGAGATTGTTAATAATTAAAAAAAATATTCATTTGGATATAAATTTATAATAGGCTAAAATTAATTATAATATAGATATTATTTATTATTACTTTTAGTCAAAGTTTTATTTAATTTCGTCATTTTTATTCACTGAAATTATATTATTTTAAATAAATCCATAAAATATTAATATATTATAAGAAACTTATACTTCCGTAAACCATTTAAAAATTATTTTTATAAATTCTATTAAAAACAAACATCTTATTCTATCATATTACTTCCTCCTATATTTAATACTTAATTTTAATTATATAATATTTTTCGAGTAAAAATCTTTATAGGTTGGCATAAAAGGTTATTTTCAAAAATTTTCTAAATAAAAATAAAAGCTATCCATTCTTAATCTTTATTATCTTCATAATCTTAGTTATTTTAAATGTAAAAGCAAATCCTATATTATAAACTATTAATAATATTAAATTAAATTTTTGTTCACAACTAAATTTCGCCTCTCTTTTTAATTTCATGAATAAATTTAAAGTATTATTATTATATTATATGCTAGAAAACTTTGTAAAACATAAAAATACTAGCTATTTAATTTCAAAGATAGAATCAACAATGTTATTATTTAAAAAAAAATATTTTCGCAAGAATCTTATAATACATAAGTTATTTTATATGTATATTTAAATTTTAAACAAATAAGTTGATTGGTTAATGTTAATTGGTCAAAATTTGTTTTTATGCTTATTATTATATTAATTAATTTGATTAATATATCAATTATTTTTATTAGTAGTATCTATTATTTAATTAATATAACTAAAAGTTGATATTATTATTAATAATAATTTTAATTTAATTTATTTAGTTTCATTATAAATATTATATTATTATTGTCTTTAATTTTTTTAAATATCATTATTATGTATTATTAATATATCGCAATACTTTTTATGAATATATTTTAAAAAACAAAAATATAAACTTAATAGTATATAATAAAAAAATAATTGTTTTATTTTATATTTATATAGAATATTTTAAAAAAATTGCTAAAATTATAGTCTCTAGCTATTCATTTTAATTATGAATAAATTAAATTTATAATCATTATTTTTTTATAAAATTAATAGTTAATATATAAAAAAAAAACTATACATAAACTATTAAAAGAAGGCGAAAAAAACTAATTGTGTATAATATAATTATTAAATAATATGTAACATTATGATTATTAATTAATAAGAAATGTAATTGAAAAAACTTAAAAATAATTTAGTATTTATTAATTTTACCTGATTTAATGTTAATATAAATTTTTCTTAAAATATATTTAATATTAATTAATATATTTTTTCATATTTAAAAATGTAAAAATTTTATAAATACATATAGCATATTTTATATGCATATGAAATAAATTGAACAAAAATACTAATTAAAATTCATCCTTAAACTTTTATATAAGAAAATAAAAAAAATGAAAATAAAAAATTATGCTTACACATACACATAAAATTCAATTTTATTAAAATTATTATAATTATTTTATTTTTTATTATTTCTTATTTTTAAGAGCAATTTAGGGTAAACATTTTCGAAAAATTTTCATTTTAATACAATTAAATTATTTAAGTAAGGGTCCTTGTGAAATTTATTTGACTGAATTATCTAAACTTTAAGTTAATTAATTTTTATATTCCTTATAAAGGTTTAAAAGGCTATTCTTATCATATTTTTAGTCTTTTTAATAAAAATTATTCAATATTGTGTCTCCTGGTTATATTTTATTGACATTTTTTATACAAGGAAGATTCTCTTAATTTTTTTAACTAATATTTTTAACTTCAATTATTTTTTTTATATATGAAAAAAGAATTAAATTCTAATAAATTTATTCTTTAGAATTTAGACTATTAATATATTGTATATATTATTAAAATATTTGCGTTGTAACTTAAAAATTATGATAAATTTATATATCTTTCCAAAATGTCAAAACATTTGTATTTTCTTATATATATTTTATGAAAAATAATTAACTAAATAATAATATTAAAAAATACCTTAAATAATCAAAATCGATTCTTTTAAAGGGATTTAATTTAAACTCGTAATTACGAATCCATTTAAAGTAAATATATTTTATTATGAAGATTCCTAAAATCCAAATTTATTAAATAATATATTTTTCCAATCTAAAAAATTCAAAGTTAATTCTATATTATCAATAATTTTTGAATAAACAGGGATATAAAAGTTTTCTACTTTTAAAGATTATAAAAATTAGTTACTTTTGCTTTTATGTATAATAAATATTTCTCTTAAGTCGCTTATACTATTAGAAATATTTTTTTCAAACTATTTTTATAAAAACTATCTAAGATATTCTCCTTCTAAATTTTATATCCCCTTATATTCTTAATTTTAAATAGTATATGAATTACTATTATTTAAAATTTTGTTTTTATTAGGTGAGTATCCTTATATATTTAATTATTTTTGTGTAGAGTTATTAATTAGTTATTTAGTTTAATTAATTTCTCCTTAAACTAAATTTCTTTAATTTTTAAATTAATATTAGCTATTATTTTATGCTTCATATATTTATTTGTTTGATTTACTTAATCTTCTATTTAATATATCTTCTATTTGTAATCCATATATTTATTTAAATATTCCATTTCTTCTTTTTTTATTTTTATTTAGTTTTTATAATTTTTCATATTCATGATCAGATAAAATATCTTTTAAGGAACATATTTTTATAATAATTAATAATTTTTTTATTTATATTTTTTTACCATCTAAATTTCGTTCTGATTAATTTGCAGAATTAATATTATGCAAGTTATTATTATTTTTTTACTTTATTTTATTTTATTATTTATTTACTTAATTGTAAATTATGTTAGATTTATTTCCATAAAAAGACAAAATTGTTTTATCATCTTATAAATTATGATTAGGAAATTATTATATATCTTATCTGAAAAATAAAGGAGTATATTATTTTTATGTTTTTTTTTTAATTAAGCAAGTGAGAAATGACTTTATAGACTTTTATTAAGCATTTTATTAGATTGTTATTAAAATAAAAAAATAATAAAAAAATTAATATATAAAAATTAAATTTAAATAGTGTTAAATATTTAATTTTATATAAAATAAATTTATAATAAAAAATTTTTAATATTAAAGTTATTTTATTAATTTTTAATTAATATTCATCAGAGATATATACTTATAAAATAATTAGTTATTTCTTAAATAAAAATATTTATTTAATGTTTTTATTATATTATGTTATTATATAAATATTATTTTTTTTAACTCAAAATATATACATATAATTTAATTGATTCGCATATTCTACATGTAAATTTTTTCTTTTAAATTATAATAGATAGAATAAACTTCATCCTTAAAAAGAGTTTTTTGCAAAACTTACAAGACACATAGAAAAACCCATATTTATTCCCATTTAAGCTAACCAAGATGAAACAAAGCCTACTTACTCATTAATAAGGATAAGAATTCTTTGCAAAAATAAAACAAAAATGTAAAAAGAAATAGAAATATAAGCTTTAAAGTTCATATAATAAATCAAAAATAAATACATTAGAGAATATGTGAAACTAATATACCATTTAATATATTCTTTGTTTAGAGGATTAATTAACACTTTAAAAAAAAGTCTCCAATACCATTCTTCAAATAAAGGTAGTACAAAACTATAAATTAAAGTACAAAAGCTAACTTAAATATAGGTAAAATTAAACTTTTATTTTTATTTAATCAAATTTTCAACTAATAGTAAAATGTAAATTCCTAAAATACAAAAAAACATACAAAAAAACAAGGCAAATCCGCATTTAAATTAAAAATAAAGCTTATTAATTTCTTTGTGTATAAAAAAAACAAAGTTCAACTTAAAATAAATAATAGTAAATGCAGGTATTATAATTAATATAAAAATAAAATACGAAACTAATGCAAATATCATACTTTTAGCCAAAAAAACTGTTATAAATAATTATAGAGTTGGTAAGAATAATAGAAAATTAAAATATAATTAATTATATTTTGTATATATTATCTCTTAATTATCTTTTTTATTTATTTAACTAATACTATGATTTTGGTAAATGTATGATTTGTAATAATCACAATTTTCCATCAAAAAAAAATATATTTTTGTTAATTAAATTATATAAAAAAATAATATTAATAAAATTTATTACAAAATAATCCTTTAATTTTTATTTTTTATTTTAAGTCAATTATACTCAATAAAATAAATAAAAACTTAAATTTTCTGATTTAAATAATATTTTTAAATATAATATCATAAATATAATTTTTTTATTATTTCTAGTAATATTTTTTTTTTTAAAAAAAACTAAATCTAATAAAAAACAAAAAAATATAAATTTTTCTAATCTTATTTTTTGTTGATTAAATTATAGAAAGAATACAAAATAATATAAATTTTAAATTTCTAATTCTTATTAAATTTAATTTTTAACTTTATAATTAATTAGATAAATATAATAAGATTTATATGAAAATATATATTATTATAAAATTAATAAAAGAATATATATTAACATATAAAATTTTATTTGAATATATATTTTTTTTTAAAAATATATTATATATAAATATATATAAATTTTTTTTTTTTTTTATTAGTTAAATAAAAAAATAATTATTTATATTAAAAAAAAATATAAAATATTAAATATTTATTTATTTTAATTTTTTATTTATTTAATTTATTATATAAAAAATTGACTAATAATTTAAAAATATTTATTATTTATTTTAATTATTAAAATACTTATAAAATTAAAATATTAAATATTTAGAAAAATAAACAAGAAAAAAGAAAATATTTAATTAAAGTATTTTTTAAAAAAGATATGATAAAATTTAAATTATTCTTTATTTAAATAAATATTTAATGAACAAGAAGAACATAAACTTGCTAGGAATATTTTAAAAAGTAGAATACAATGGTTAATTTACACTAAAACCATGTAATATAAAAATAAAATATGTAAAATATATTTTAAAAGTAAAAAAAGTATTGAACTAAATCAAAAATAATTAGATAAATAACTTAAGTAAAACATAATTTAATAAATTACAGAAAAGTTTAAAAATTTAATAAATAATAAAAAAAGATAAAATAAATATATATTTTTAGACAAATTGCATTATATTTGTCTAAAAAACATTTTTGTTAATAATTTGAATTATTTTATTATATATTTAATTAAAGAATAAATAAGTTTTAGCCAAAAAGATACATTATTTAAACAGAATATTATTATAAATAATAAGTTTAATTAAAAAATTAAATAAATATTTCTTAATTATTTTAAATAAAATAGAACCTATAAATAAAATTAATATATTTACAAGTGTAATATCCTTAATATGTGTGATATTACTTTATCCTATTTATTTATAACATTTTTTTTATTTGAAATACTTTAATTTTATAAATAATAATTTAATTTAAACATCTAAAATAATATTGAAAAAAATATTGAATATCATTTCTTAAAATTAATTTTCTGTATTTCTATTTTATTAAAAATTTATTATATTTTTCATAATTTTTTTTTTCTATTTTTAAAGTATTTAAAAAAATTGATTAAATTATTATTAAAATTTGTAAAATATAAATAATTTATATTAATTAATAAATAATATATTATATAGTTTAGATTAGATAGTAATTTAATATTTTGATATTTATATTCATTATTATATACAAACTCTTTATAGTAAGAATAATTCATATAATCTTATTATTTGTAAACTACTACAATAATAGTTATTTTAAAAGGTCTAAAAGGCTCAATTTTAATATATGTAATTTTATTAAAATAACTTTTGTGTTATAAATTTCATAGGTTTATTTGTATATACTATTAATTATATAGGAAGTATTTTGGATAAAATTAATAAAATATAAATTGAATATAAAAGTCATTTGGAAGTTATTAATAAGATTTAAAAAAGAATAACTTTAAAAAAATGAATTAAAATAAAAAGTTTACAAATTTCTTTGGAAAAAAGCGATATTTAGGTTTAAAAAGAATTGTTGAAGTTTATAAAAAATTCCCTATAATTTAATAATTTATAGTTATTTAAATATATTAATAATTTTTCATAAAAAAGTAATTAAAATAATATAAATAGAATATTTCCTATAATATTTTAGATAATGTATTTAATTATAGGGTTTTTAAAGAGCTATAAATATTAAAAAAAATAAAAATATAAACAAAAAAATATATGTTAAAGAGCGATAACAAAATGTATAAATTATTAAATTTTAATATACATTATAATATCATTATAATTAAATTTATTTATAAATTATTTATTCATGTTTATTAATAATATAAGCAAATAATTTTAAATATATCATATTTTATAAAAGTTATTATAATATATAGGTTTTTAAAAATAAATAAATAATATGAACAAAAAAGTTACATATATTATTAAAATATTTTATAACCATAATTATAAAATTTATCACATATATCTTACTAAATTATATGTAAAAATGCAAGCATCTGTGATTTTTCTATTATAATTTGCTTAACTTTCTTTATTAGGTACATTAGCTGACAGCCTTTTTTTTTCTTTTAATTTAAGTTCTACTGCTTCATTATAGGAATACTTCATTTTATTTTATGAAGGCAAATAATCATAAATCATTCTATTAGTATCGAATCTTTGTTATAAATGTCCCTTAAAATAATAAAAAAATATTAATATATATATATATATATATATATATAAATATATATTTATATATATTTTATTATTATTTATCCTTATTTATATTTAAATAAAATAATATTACTTCTCTTTATGAATCTAAAACTCTACAAATAATTGAGGTATATTCCAAAAATTTAAATCCACTTCTTTTCTATTAAACCTTTTCCATTAAGAAATCCCAAGGTTATTTTTTATCTCTTTTATTTTCATTTCTTAGTTTTTTCATGTTTTTTTTTCTTAACTCATATAAAAAATTAGCGTTTACAGCTCCTTTTATTAATGGAATCTGGAATGTTCCTGATTATACATATCCATCGGGAGTAAAAACAGGGACAATAGTCCATCCAACATCAGTAAATTAAGGATTAATCTATATTTGTTTTAACAACAAAATTATTGATTTTTATAATAATTACGTTTTTAAAAGTTATGCTTTTAATATCCACTATAATACATTGATATCTATTAAACTCTTTATTAAATGTAGACCATTAATCATCAAATTAAGGACTTTAGGCTGCAGAACTCCATTTTAAAGTTGAAATTAAATGAACCTTAGTATTTATTTTTTATTTAAAAAACTAAAAAAAATATACTTCAGTCGAATCTGGTGGTAATTGTATAACTTTTTATTTTTCATTTATTTATAATTATTTTTAATATTCTAAATCTTCTTTTTTTTGTAAATAAGGTTTAAATTCAGGATCGTCCTCATCATCAGAACCATATTCTTTTTCTGCGCCATCAGGTAAATAAGGATAAAAGCCTCCAAAGGGTGGGTTATATGAGAAGAATGCAACATATATTTAAGATTCGTCAGGCACTTAATGTAATCCATCCAAATTAAACTTAACTCCTGATTATTAAGAATATTTTGCGAAATAGGTCATATCTATCATTTTAGTATCATCAGTTAATATTATATTGTCATCTAAGAATTAATATAATTCTGTGTTTTTCTTTTTTTTGTTATTATTAATAATTATAATTAATTTGAATTTTTTTTTATTTACAAATCTTTTATTTATATTCTTTCCTTTTATTATAATATAAGCTTATTCTTTTATACTTATATCTTCTCTTATAACTCTATAAGGAAATAGCTTTTTTTCAGCATCATTAGCTTCATACCAACTGGTATTATAAACCTTATTTATCGAACAAAAAATAAATGTATATATATATATATTTTTTTTTTTATACTTTTTTAGAATACAAAGGCCTCGGATGAAATAAACCTTTCGAAAGCCATATTTTTTGGTCAGGAAAATCCTTTATAGATAAAGCATTTAATCCTTTTTCATCCATAGGAGCTGCATAAATTCTAACTAAAATAGATGCACATGGCAATTTTTCAAGATTATAACTATTTTAATAAAATATATAAATTATTTATTTAATATTTAAAATAAATTAAACATTTTGTCAATAGTAAAAGGAACTACTCTTTTAATTTATTAAGAAAAAATAGGTAATTAATATGCTCCACTATATAAAAATACTTCCTTTTAATAGTTAAAAAATATATATCTTTGAACAAAAAATAATAGTAAAAATATATACAGTTATATTTTAACTAGAAGGGTGTTTTCCATTTTATCCAGGAGTAATAAATAAAGGAATAGCTGAATAACCAATAATTCTTATTTCATTAATGGACTTATCTAAAGTAACAATTGTCATTAAAACAATAGAAGAAGGATCTATATGCTCTTTTCTTAATTCTAATCTAAAATTACAAATAGGATTAAATGAAGTAGAATCAAGTTCAGGTAAACAAGAATTTTATTCGAAAATAGGCTCATAATTAACATTAAAAACATCTAAATAAATCCTAGAAACAGTCACTTTATCTGGTAAATATCTCAAACCGTCAATATAAAAATCGATTCCCATTCTTTTTTGAAAAGCTTTTGTTTTATACTACGGTTTAGGGTTTGGAATATAAGGACTATTATCTAAAATCTCTTGTTCTTCTTCAGGTTATTGAGAAGCTGGTTAAGGTTTTCTATTTTGTTTTTATTTTTTTTATTTGTTTTTTATAATTACGATTTCGTTTAAGATTTTAAAATAGATGCTTAATCATATATATATTGTTAGACTATTATATCAATCATTTTTCCTGTTTTTTATTGTAAATCTTCTCTTACAGGAGGCTTTACTGCCGGAGGTTCAAATAAATCTACAGTATATAAACCCGATTTTATTGAACCATCTTCTCTATTTACCTTTGTTTATAATAATTTATTAAAAATATTGAAAATCATTAGTAATTACTTTAATAAAATTCCAACCAATAGTATTATATTATCCTTTATAAGATTCAGAATCTCCAGGATTTGAAATACTCTTTGGAGGTTCCTTTTCTAAAACTTAAATGCCAATATATAAATCTTGTCTATTATTTTCCCAAAATGTATTAGGAATATTTTTATAAAATTTATATTCTTCTTGCCATTTTAATATTTCTCCAAATTATTTATTATTCATCATATTTGACTTTTTATTTTTTAACAAAAATATATTATATTTATATAGAATACAAATATACTTATTAGTTTTATTCAACTAATGGAATAACAGCCTCTTAAGGTAAATCTTCCATTTATTCTTCGGAATTAGGATTATGGACTGAAGTATAGAAATTACATTATTTATTATTATCATCTAATACTATTTTCGCGTCTTAAAGAAGTCCAATTAATACTTTTATATTTTATACTGGCTTATAATTTTAGATATTCATTACAGAAACAGAAAGACCTTATTTTTGTATATTTTAAATAATAATAAATAAAAATAAAATAAAATAAAAAACCTTTTTTTTGTTTATCATCAGATGGTCTTGGAACATCATAATATCCGTTGGATTAAGGTTAAGGTTCTTAGTAATTCCTGTAGGATTAATCTGGATAAGATATATTTTATAACATTTAGTCTTAGTTAGGCATTGTGTATTAGATTTTTTATTATTATCTATATCCTAAATCATTTCTTAAATGAATTCTCGGAATTATATATTCATGCATTGTATGATCTGGATAACGAGATTTTTATTTACTGAAATCATCATCATTTGGATATGCTATTCTAAGATATATCCATGTACCTGGAATAGGTTCTAAATGCCGAATATCTTCTATTGTTATATTTTAGTCGGTTGGTGGATAATATATAGGACATTTGAATTTTCCTCGTCTTTTTTTATAGAAAGGTATAATTTTTTATAAATAAATAATTACTTTAGTTCTTTTTTTAAGTCAAATAAATCTAATTAAGTCCACCCTAAACTTTCTGTTTTGTTTGTGTTATCTCCTTTTTTCTTTGAAAAGGGAAGTTATACTTCCATAATTAATAAAGCATCAGTCGAAGGTGGTATGTCGAAAACCTTTATTTATATAAATAATTATATGAGTTTTAAATATATATATATATATATATATATATATATATATATTTATATATATATTTATTACTTAATGAGAATCTCCTATAATACATCTTACAGTTTCTGCACTTTCAACCTATATAAATAATATTTATGTTTTTATTGTTTATTTAAAATAATATATACTTCACAATCTTTTGCATCAACAATCTTAGGAGTATATAAAGTATCACCTTTCAAAATAAAATAAAAAAACACAAAACATAAAACAAATACCATTATTAAAAACTCCGAATACAACTTAGGCGAAATTATTTCTTTTAGGTAAACCCAAAATATAATCCCAATGTATGACCAATCCATCATTTTAATCATATTGTTTTAAACCGACAGTGGGTCCCATATCTTTTCTAATTCTTTACGCAATAATCCATTTTCTTTGATCATCATTCCATCTAAATATATATATAGATAATTAAAAAATAATTAAGTTTTAAAATATACTTTTCATTATCATATTATCTATCTTCTTCTCTTCTTTAGTATTCGAATTCTCTTCTTAATCTTTAAAGTTTTTATTCATTAGCTATTTTCTCCATTTCTGATTTCAAAGTACTTAACTCTTTATATTATTCCATTTTGAATCTATAAAGTTCAGTGCCTATAGGTATTCTGCTTAATATTCTTAATTAATCAACTTCTTCTTTCGCTAAATTTGCTAATATTCGCTCTTCTTCATCCAAATCTACACATCTGACTTCATTTTATAACAAAAATTCTTATTACTAAGTAAAAATACTGAAAGGGTTTTCTCCATGATCCATATATCCATGAATAGAACTATTAATTTATCCCAAAGTAAAATTTTGATTGTTTTTATAATCTAAATTGTTATTATTATTGTTATAAATTAAAGGTTATCCATTTTTATTTAAAAATACAGTATTTTAAGGAAATAAATTAATTTATTATTAATTTTCGATATTATTATTATTTTATTAATTTTATAAATTTTATAATTCTATTTATAATTTTTATAATTCTTTTTCTTTGTCTAAAAATATTTTTTCTTATTCTCTTTAGTTTTACATTTAATTTATTTAATCTTACAATCTTAATATTTATTTATTTTAAGGATCTATTGTTGGAGGTGATATAAATTCTTAATTATTTATAATTATAGGATTTTATACTTCTTTTTTTTAATAAAACTTGTCTAAGTTTTCTAAATTTTCTAAAAAACGATTATCTTTTCCTCCCGCTCTTTAATAATCTTATTTTATTTTACGAATATCATCAAGCATTTTTTCCGAATGATCTTTCCAGTTTTTATTTCTTTCATTATTTAATAATTCTTCCTCTTTTTTTTTATTTATTATTATTTAATTATTTAAAAATTATATTATTTTAATAAAAACTCTTTTCCTAAGGAGTTTTTTTCCGGTTAGTAAAATCTTATAATTACTGGTTTGAAAAAGGTCTTTATAAATCCTATATAGGCATATTATCCTAATTAATGTTTTTTTAGTTAGGATTGGGGTCAAAATATTTATTTTCTTTGATTCGAGTTTATTATTATTAGTTATTGGATGGGGAATAAATTTAATTAATGAGTTTATTCTTTTATTATTCTAATTCTAATTATTATTATCTTAAATTCAATATTTTTTCACTCCTTTCTTGATTTGCCATTTCGTTTATTTAAATGTTTTTATAGTCTGCAATATTTTAACCCTTTATTTTTATAAAATATTCATTTTTTTTAAAAAAAAAAAAAAAAATAGTACATTTTAAACTTCCTAATATAATTAATTAACTAATTAGTTTTATTTTTAATTTAACATATCATTTTTTCTTGCTAAGTATTGCATTTTTTCTATATTTTCAACCCCTTTGGTATTCCTTATTTCGTTTTTAATTTATTATTATTCTATTTAATTATATAAATCCAAATCTTATTTATTTGGATATTTATTTAATAAATTAGACATTTCAATATTATCTTATCTTTATTATTCTCTTTATTAAACTCTATCTTATTTTAATTTTTTTATTTGTTCTTCTAATTCTTCTTCTCTTTATTTTTGTGCAACTCTTTCTAATTTTTTAAATGCAGGGTCTTCTGTTTTTAATCCAGCTTTTGCTTATTATAAACTCATTTGTCCAGCTTTTTTTAATAAATTTTAATCTTTTTCATTTGGATTTATATTTGGCATTTATTATCCTAATCCCATTCTTAATTCATTATACTTCTTATTAAGTTTGTCAAGATCATTATAATCGCTATTTACACAAAACTTTTTATTATTAAAAATAAAAAAAAACACAGTTTTTTTTATATAATTTTTTAAATTACTTTTTTAACATGGTTAGCTAATTAAGCAGATGACTCGAATTTCATTTTGCATGATCTTTTTTAATATTTGATTTAATTTAATTTATTATTTATAGTACCCACATTCATTTAGTATGGGAATATATTAAGACATTTAACTAATATTTGACAAATTAAAGACTAATAGTATATATTAATTTTTTTTTAAAAAAAATAATTTTTTAAAAAAAATTCGATTACAAAAAAAGTATGAATAATAAAAAAAACTAAAAATAATTAATATAAAAAATTTTTTATAATTATTTAATTTATATATATATATATATATATTATATATTTATTTATATAATCACCTTTAATATATATAATTTCTTCTACATTTTTATTACCTATTCTAAATTTATTTTTATAATATTATTGTATATTATAAATCATATAATTATTTAAAATAAAATCTTTAAATTAATTTAAAAAAATACTATAATATAAAAAATTTGATTATATTTAATTAATATATTCATATATCAATCAAAGATCTTATTATATTATCTTCACAAACTTATCCTAATTTTTTTTTTGCAAAATCAATAAATTATTCTTTGATTTTTTAGCATTTTTCGAAATTCTAGAATTCTTATATCCTATACATAAACTATTAAAAAATAGCTATTAAGGAATTTAAGTTATTATTTTCATTTATTTTATTTATAATAGTTTTTAATGGAAAAAAATATTATTCAAGTAATTAAGGGCTTTCAATGTTATTAATTATTTCAACAATATTAGATTCTTAAATTTATATTATAAAAAATATACATTTATATATATTACATGTTATATATTAAGAATTAGAATTTGAAAAAAGGATAAAATTAATATATTTCTAATATATAATTTGTTTAATATCATTTCTATTATATTACTTACAAATTTCTTATAAAACAAGAATTTAATTTTAGTATTTTTTTAAAAATAAATCTAAAATACTCATTATTTTTGTAAAGTTATTCATAAAAATATAAAACTTAAATTATTCATAAAAAAATAAAAAAAAATATTTTTCTTCTAAAGAATCATTTTATTGAAATCCATTAAGTACCAATTATTCTAACTCTTAACAATAAAAAACATTTTGAGTTTCTTATTTTAAAGGAATTTAATCTTCAATAACTTTTACTAAATTAATAAAAAGTAGAATAAGTGTTTATACAATTGATTTATTATAAAAATTTATATAGTTTTAAGCAATTTCTTTAGCAAAATAAATAATTTAAGCTTCATAACATAATTGAGGATTATAAAAATAATCTTTTTCAATAAAAGAAAGAGCTTAAAGTGAAAAAATAAATAACAATATATGAAAATTAAAATAAAAATCAGATGAAAAATTAAAAGTCTAAAATAAAAAGATTTATATTTTTTTAAAATAAAAAGCAGGGATTGTTTAAGAAAAAGGTAAATATAAAAAAAGAGGTAAAAAAAGCTTTAAAATTTTTAAAATTTCTTTTTTATTTTTTTCTTCTTTTTACATTTTCTCAATTAAAATTTCAATAAAAAAAATTTCATTATTTTATTTTGCTAGAAAAACAAAAAAAAGTCATAATTTTGTTCAATTAGAAAATATATTATTTTCCAAAAAAAAATTCATCTTTATTTTATTTGATTATTTCGTTTATTAATACAATGCAAATTTCGCTTTCTAATATTTTCTACCAGCCAATATTCTCAATTATTTTTTAAATCTAATTCTCCTTTATAATTTTTGGATTAATTAAAGCTAACAAAAGCTTAGACAAAGGTTAAAAATTTCCTTCTAAAAATTATTTAAATTCTAAAATAAATTACTAATTTTAAATTTTAATTGAACAAATAATTCCTAATTAAGCAATTTATAAGCTCTATGCTTTATTTTTATAAAAAATGATCATACTTTAAATAATTTTAAGATTTTATTCGACAAAAAAAATATTTAATTAGCCAGAAACTAAAGTAATATTTAGAACAAGATTATTACTTAAACAAAGAAAACTATTTAAATTTTCATTTTTTTCCTCTGTTTTTTTAAGAAAAGATAATTATATAAAAACTTACTTTAAAGCATTTTTTAATAATATAATTAAGCTTTTATCTAATAATGTATTCAATTTTTCTATAAAATAAAAATTATTAGTATTTTTTTAATCATTATTTTCTTATTTTTATTTGAAGAAAAATGTTTCTAAAAAAAATCCGAAAATTCCCAAAAATTAAAAAAAAAGTTATTTTTGTTAAAAATTCTAATTTTAAGGTAATAAATAAACAAAGTTATTAATTATTTCTAAACAAAAAAAAGCTGATAAGAATTCGTTTTTGTCCATATATATTATTATAGTATTTATTAATTATTATATTTCATTTATTTCGGTATTAGTTTTTTATTAAAAGTAGTTTTTTATCATCAAACTGTAATATTATTATTATTATTTATCATTTATAGATTATTATTATGAAAATATTGCTTTTATTTAAAAAATAAGATTAAAAAAAATTTTATTTTCAATATTTAAATCTTGTAAATAAACATTTATTTATTATTACAATAATTATGGATTTTCTAAAGCTTAAAAAAGTTTAGCTTTAGCAAGATTTTATTTAAAAATTTAGTCGTTTTCAATTTCTTCAAAACCGTTTTCCAAAAAAATCAAAAAATAATCAATTTCATCATTTTGTAACTAATAATTAGATACATAATTAAAAATAAGATTTAGTATATACTTTTAAACATAAACATTAGAATACCTTTTTAGAATCTTTTAAGCTTTGTTTAATATAAATTTAAAATCATGATGCTCTTTAATTATATACTCGAAAAAATTCAAATTATTAAAATATATTAAGTTATTTATTTTGTCATTTTTAAAGTCTATTTATTTATTATTAATGGAATTTTTCTTTAAAATATTTTAATTAATTTTCGAATTTTCTTAATATAAATTATTATTATTATTATTATTATTATTATTATTATTATATTATTAATATTATTATTATTATTATTTTATTTATATTTACTATTATCATTTATTATTTAGTTATTAAATATTATATTTTTTTAACAATTTTATTTTTACATAATATGTTTTATTATTGGTAATTTAGTTACATTTATATTTTTTTATGATTCGATTTCTATATTTGATTTTTGTTCATTATTTTTACAATTTTTATTACTATCTTAGCTTTTATTTTAAGAGCTTTTATCTCCAAAACTCTTATTATTGTTGTTTTAAGAGTATCTTTAAAAACTTTCTGAATAAAGATTATTATCTAGTCCCGAAGCACTGCTAATTTCTTTATCTTTATAAGTAAAATTAATTAAAATATCATTTGTTTCGAAAATTTCCTTCAAAAAAACAAAATATTCTTCTTTATAATTGCATTCAAGTAATGTTTTTCTACAAAAAAATATATTCTACATTAAAATATATTCTATAGTTTCTTGCTGGAAGTAATCTTTTAATTTTTAAGTTAAAAAACATTATTTTATTATATAATTAGTTAGAAATAAAATAATAAAAGTAAAAAATTGTTCGAATTAATCTTAGTTTTAAATATCTTAATGCTCTTCTCCTTCAATAAAAGAATAAATGTTTTTTATATCATTTAATAAATGGAACAAATCTTTAAGTAAATAGTTTTCCTTTAGTTGATCTTTTTGTATATTTATTATTTATTCTTTTAGTTATTATAGTACTTCGAAATCTTTTATTCTGTTCATTGTTTGTTGATTTAATTTTTCTATTATTAATTAGATTTTTTCCATATCCATGTTTTTTATTAGTTTAGCTAAAATATAAATATTTGCTAATTTAATATTGCATTGAAAATAATATAATATTTTTTATTTTTTTAAATTATTAAATATTAATGAAATTAAAAGAATTAAAAAATTAAAATAAGAAAAATGTCTGAAAAAATACATTTTAAGAAATAGAAATTAATAGTATAAACAAGAAGCACATAAATCTAAATATTCTCAGTATATACTCTTCCAAAGACATTAAAAGCCTCTAAAATCTTCAAGAAGTAATGAAAGACAACTAGTTTTCTAAAAAATAAAAAATTGGAAGGTTAGAATTGGAAAAGGTGAAACTACACCTTAAAAATACAAAGGGGCAATAGTAATACACTTGCCAAAGGATTATTTATTGAAATATGTTAAAGAATAAAATATTAATATGGTTATAGCTTGTATTATATATAAATACGCTTATGAGAAAATTAGTATGTAAAATTCAATCAATAAATTAATGGCTTTTTATGGAGGTATAATTTGAATATTATATATTATTTTTTTTATTATTTGATTTTATAACAGATTTTTTAATTATTTATTTTTTAAAATAAATCAATTAAAAAAATTTTTTAAATAATTTAATTAATTTATATCCAAAAAAATAATATTATTTTAATATATAAACTATATTTTAAATTTATTTCTCAATTTAAATTTTTTTTTTTTTTTTTTTTTCTAATTTATAAAAAAATAATTTGTTTTATTATTTAATAAAAGAAAAACAAATCGATTTTTTCAAAATTTACAAAGCAAAAATTTAAGAAAATTATAATAAATATTTATATATATAAGATATTTAAAAAATATATTATTATTATAATTAATAATAATAATATAATAATAATATATAAAATTATAAATTTGTTTAAATTTAAATAAAAAAATGAATATAAAAATAATTATTAATGGAAATTGTTATAAACTAAATAAATCCCCAAAAACATATACAGAACTATAATAACAAATAGAGTATTAATTTTGTAAGAATCTTCCGAAAAATCCCATTATAAAATACTAAGATTAAGAAAATGACATCATAAATATAGAATCCGAATATGATTTCTAATGTTTTATTGAATTTTACTAAATGGAAAACCTTAAAAGTATAAAATTAAGAATTGAAAGTCAATAAATAAAATATTATTTAGATAGCATGAATTACACTATGTAAGAAAATTTAATTTAAAATAATTAAAATGAAGATTTTTTCAACCTTTATTTATAAACTTAAAACCCTTTTTAACTTTTAAATTTACATGAGATAATCCCATGTATAGAAACAATATAATAAACATCAAAAGAAAATATAATAATAGAAAATTAATAAAATCCATATTATTTTTAAGGTCAAATAAATGCAATAGAAACATAAAAAGAATAAAAAAATACATTTGATTTAACGGGAATTACATTCAATAATATAAACAGTTTAATCTTTTAAAATTCATAATCATTTTTTGTACTTGGAAGCGAAGAAGAGTTTCATAAAATCTCCAAAGCAGCTTCTTAAACAGAATTTTTTGCTAATGAATTAAATTAATCGCATTTAAATATTCAAAACCCTGGGTATATGTTTTCATATGATTAATTTTAAGAAATGGTAGATCAAATATAATAGTAAACTTTAACTATTATTAATGAAGAAAATCCATAATTACCTTCTTTTTAAAGAAAAAGATGTAAGTCAAATACTTTAAGAATTTAATAAAATATAAAATAATAAGGATATTCATAAAGAAGAAATTCTTTATAAAAAAAAGAATTTTTTTAATTTAAAATTTATCAATAGATTGTTTCTTAATGTTTTTTTTAATATTTTTTTCTTGTTTCATTTAGGGTAGTTATTCATAAAGATGTTTTTTGGCCAGAAAATAGTTTTATTTAATGCATATAAGGAGCTTTGGAAGGGAAAAAAATATTTATTTGTCCTTTTTATTAAAATAATATTTGTTTTATCTTATTTTATGTGGACTTTTTGGATGAAAATTTAACTAAAAATTAAGTTTATAAGACTTAATGGCGATTTTTTTAGTTATAAGATGATAATGATTAACTTTTCTTTGGACCTATATTAAATATTGATTTTTATTATTACTAAAACTCATTAGATAATTAAGAAATTTTAGATGAATTTTTATATGAGTCTTTTTTAGAAAAATAATCTGTTTAAAATAATAATAATATATATAATTAAAATATTGAAATTAGAAATATTATAAATAGTATTAAAAGAATTTTCTTTTAAAATTGATTAAATTATTTAATATATGAATAAATTTTTATTATATATTAACGAAAAAATATATAAAGATATTTATAATAAATATTATATATATATTTATTTATTTTTTTATATCAAAAAAAATTTATAAAATAAAATATTATTTATTTATTAATAATATTATTTAAAAAGTAAGAATTAAAATAAAAAATGTGCATAAAAAATATTATTATCATTATAATTATTTTAATATAGATAGTAGATATGATTATAGATTTTTTTTTGTTATTAAATAAAAAAATAAAATGAAATAAAATATAAAAATATATTTTATATAATAATTAATGAAAATATATTAATAAATATATATAAAAAATTATTATATTAAGATATAAAATTAATAAAACATATTAATATGCAAATATTATAAATCTTTTAATAATATTTATTTTTATTAATACAAAATTAATTTTCCTTTAATTATAAATATTATTTATTATTAAATTAACATTGAAAAAAATTTTAAAATTTATATTAAATAATTATATATATATATATATATTAAAATAAGTATAAAATTATTTTAATTTTTCAAATATACAAATGTAATATTTCGTATTAGTTTAATAAACAGATTCTAATTGTAAAATAAATAAAAAATTATTGATTATAAATTTGAATTATAAATAAAAATATATTTAACTCCGAGAGATTTTTTTGCTAAAAATAATAAAATCCAATACTAAAAAGAATATATTTAAAAAAGACTTATAGAAAAAAATAAATATATATATATATGTTATTTTATTTTATTTTAAAAAAAAAAAAATATTTAATAATTAAAAAGATATTTTATTGTCCAAAAAAATAATTAAATATGGTTAGAAAAACAATAAATTATTCAAAAGAATATTATAAATGGTTTAGATGAAAAAATGTTGTTATTTATATTTTTTTTATAAAATTCTTTATTAAAAAAAAAAAAAAAGACCATATTTATTTTTTCTCACTTTTTTTTTTTATTAATATAATTCGTAAAAAAAAATAACATATAAAAATATAAAAACAATATATAAAAATTATATATGCATACTAACTAATTACATAAAAATGTTAATTTTTTTTATTCTTATTTATAAAATTTCTAATAATTTTTTATTTTTATTAAAAACATAAAAAAAAAATTATTTAAAATTTTTTAATTATTTAAATTAAAAAGCATTCTAATATATTCAATAATATTCAATTTACTTTTATTTTTTTTCTTCACTAAAAAATATAAATAAAATTACACAACTAATATCATCAATTACATTTACAACATTCTTTTTAAAAAAATTAATATATATTTAAACAAAAAAACAAAATAAACTTTTTTCCATTCAAGACAAGCTTAATTAATTATAGCATCAACAGCCCCTTAAGCATCTTTATTTTTATAAAAAGGAATAACAGTTTTAATAACCTAAATAAATAAATTAATAAGTATAATATAAAGGAAAAATTAAACGTCTGAATTAGACATAAATTCCCAAACTCCATCACTCGCAATAACAATGAATTTATCTTCTTCTTAAATAAGAAGTTCATAAATGTCAGGTTCTGAAATAATTCCTACTTCTCTTCCTGCTTTATCTCCTAATGACCTTGACATAGCTAAACCTGGATATTCCATTTTTTAATTCCAGACTCTATAAACACCTTATTTTTATCCTTTTTCATCGGTTTAGATTTCCACTCTACCTCCATGTTCTAAAATACGTTTTTTTTCTCTAGCTAAATTTGGTTTATGATCTTCGCTTAATTAAATCGATTTCCATTCATTTTTACCTCCTCCTTTATTTACTAAACGACCTATTATAGCTCTAGAGTCGCCTATATTTGTACAATAAAGAGTATTATTGTGTATTAATATGGTAACAGAGGTCGATCCACTTAAATAAGTATCCATTTTAGAATCTAGTAATTCTTAAGAAACCTATTTTAAAGTTTTATTTAATGTATTTTGGAGATTTAATTCATTTGCTTTTTATTATTAACTTATCTTTATATTCTTTAAAAGAATTTACGAAAGTTTCTTCTTTATGTGATTTGAAACTTAATCTCCATATTCACCTTTTTTTGTTTTGTTTTTTTATGTTTTTATGAGATTTTTTAATACCATGCCCATCACATACCCCATAAAAACAAAAAGTTTTATCAGTTCCTAATTGTACCATATTTATTATCGAATCTTAGTTTGTTTTTTAAATATTTGGGCTATATTGTCCTGGTCTTGATTTCGAATTTGATATTATTTAAATTTTTTTCAAGTTACCCTTTTTAAATTAAAAAAAAATTATAAAATTTCTATTAATTAATAATAAAATAACATTAATATATATACTTTTTTTAAGGTTTACTCGAGCATCTTGATACGAATAATTATAGGATTATTAATCAGTATTATCTTATACAGGTTATGGTTATTCTACTTCAAATTAGAAAACAGAAACTAATTTATTTGGTGAACAACTAATATTACAATCTTAATTAAAACTGGCTTTTATTTAAGGTGTTAGATATTATTTTAAAGGTGATTATAATTATGAGTTCTTTCTAATTATAAAAGTTGTATTATCATGTTTTTATTTAACATCTATAGTTTTATTCATTTAATTATGTTCAAGCGTTTATTGATTAAAATTTTACTATAAATTCAGCTTTATTTACCTTATTTTTTTATTTTTTTATTTTTTATTTAATTTGTTAACTTTTATTAGTAAGGATCAAGTGAAGGTAATATTATTCTACTTTTATTTTGGTTACTTTATTAATTATAATCTATTTATTAACCAAAAGAGTTTCTTTAATCAATATTTTTTTAATTTTTCTAAATTTAATTTGGATTTTTTTGAAAACTTTTTTTTTTTTATACAAATTGGTTTAATTGATTTTTATTTTTTCTACCTTTTTAAGCTTTTTTATTGATTAATATCTATTACATTTTTTGTCATTAATTAAGAAGAATTATCTTTTCATTTTTTTTTTTAATTGTGATAATAAGTATTGTTCATTTTTTTAATTTTTACTTAACAAATTATCATATTCCAAAGGCTTTTTATTAATTATTAAAAATAAATAAATTATAATTTAACAAAATAAAAGTTTAAAAAATAAAATATAAATCAAAAAATATTTAAATCGAAAAACATTAACTTACTTCATTTAAAGAAGTTTTATATCTATTAATTTAATTTTTACTCATTTACTTTTTTTTCTTTTTTTAAATAAAATAAAATATAAATAATCAAAAAAAATATATATATATATATATATTTTATAAGTTAAACATATTAACAAAAAAATAAAAAAAGATAATATATAGACAAATTTATTAATTAAATAAGTTATTTTTAAAATAAAAAATGTTTCAAACTTTATAATTAGAATATGTAAATCCTCATATAGCACACATAAAATTAAATCGTCCAAATAAAAGAAATGCCATGAATTTAAAAATGATTGAAGAAATTCCTTAGATAATTTAGGAGTTAAATAACAATTCTAATTTGCGCTGTATAATAATAACAGGTAACGGTAAACATTTTTCTTCTGGAATAGATCTAAAAGACTCAGTGTTTTAAAAAGAAATAGAAGGTTTAGATAATGCCCGAAAAGGAATAAAATTATATAATATTATAAAAGAGTTATAAGAATCTATGACATCTTTAGAGAAAATAAACATTCCAATTTTAATGGGGGTGCATAACGCATGTTTAGGCTTAGCTTGTGAACTTATTTTAGCTGCAGATTATAGAATTTGCACAAAAAACTCTTTTTTTGAATTTAAAGAAGTTGATTTGGGAATCGCAGCTGATATGGGATTAATTTAAAGGCTTTAAATAAATTGCGGAAATCAAAGTTTAGTAAGGGAATTAATATTTTCAGGAAATCGATTTGATTCACAAACAGCTATATAATTAGGTATAATTACTTTTTTTATTTATTTATGTAATTTTTATCAAAAAAGGATTAGTATCTTAAGTTTATGAAAATGAAGAAATTATGGTTTAAACTTTAGTTTAAAAAGCTATATTAATTTCTGAAAAAAGCCCTGTTGCTATTTGGACAATAAAAAATATGCTTAATAAATAAAAACATGATATAATTTTAAACAATTTGGATTATTTAGCTAGAATTAATGTTTCTTCTATTTAAACTACTGATATTTAGGAAGCTTTAAATGCTATTTTATTAAATAAACAGCCTTAATATCCAAAATTATGAAAAATAAAAAATAATTAAAAATAAATAAGATATATTTTTTATGAAAAAAATAAAAAAATAAAAAATATTTTATTTTATATTATTATTTATTTAAATAAAAATAATAATAATATTATATTATTATTTTATTCAAAAATCTTGTGTAGGGGTTGGTCTTTTAGTTTTTGCCATTTCTCCTCTTGCTAAATCGGGGAAACTTTCTTCTGCAGCTACTGGTACATCATTAAAGAAGTATTCTCCATAACCTATATATTTATAAAATAAATATTCTTTTTGTTTATGTTTATACCTGGGTTTTGTCTTTCTGCTTCAAATTACCACATTCTTTCTTGTAATATTACATGATGGTAGAATTTATTTGCCATAAAAAGTGTTGTTTTATAATATAAATAACCACCTTTTTATTATTAATTTTTATAAAATATTTATATTTTTATATAAATGATAAATATACATCCAAAAGCAAATCCAAAGACTCCTAAAGCTCCCACTGGCCCAAAACTTTATAATAAATAAATATTTTATTTTTTTATTTAATTTAAAAATATTAATAACTATTTTTTATAAAATATATAATTTTTATTACAGATGATAAAATTATGTTTAATTTAAATTTGTAATACCATGACTTCCAATAGGAATCATTTATCTACACCATCTGGATGCTTTTAATTTTTATTAGATTTTAATATAAAATAAATAAATATCAATATTTTATATAATATTAAGTTTACCAGTTGCCATTCCTAATGAGGCTCCTACCCAAATAGCAAAAGATCTGGGAAAAGTAAATGCTTTTAAATCTCTTTAAAGGAAATCATCCCAATTTCTTGCATATAACATTCTTTATAACGATTATATTATATTTTTTTTTTAATGTTTTTGATTTTTTTTGTTTACTTTTAATATTTATCAATTACATATGTTCTGTAGTCAGTATTAGCACCTCCTTAACAATTTTCTTGTTAAAATTAAATTAATTTCTTAAATGCGGGATTATCGCCATATTCGTAAAAGAAATCTGGGTCATATAACTTCTTTACTTCTTCTGCTTATTAACGCTTTTTTTATTAATCTGCCATTTTTTTATTTTATTTTCCACTTTTTTATAATGCTAAATATATTTTTTTTTATTTTTTTTTCTTTTTATTATTTTTTTTTTTTTTTTCTTTTTGAAATAATTAAAAAAAATAAATGAAGGAGGATATTTATATAAAATCATATTAGTATAATTAAAAAAATATGATTTCGAAATAAAAATATAGTTTACATTTATTTTTATTTTTAATTAAACAAAAAAAATTAAATTAATATATTAAAACAAGCGCTAATTTATAAAATATTTATTAAAAATATAAATTTTAGAAAAAAAAAAATGGAAATTTTTGTAAATTAATAAAAATTATTAAATAATAAAAAGAATTAATTTAGAATAGAAATAAGATAAAAAAAAATAAACAAAATCCTTATATAATTCCGTGGAAAATAAAACGAATACTATAAAAATTAAACATAATAAATAAATGTACAAAAAAATTAATCAATATTTATATATATGAAATTAATATAGGACATAGATATTATTATAAAATAGGCTACAAATAGTTAATAAAAAGAAGAAAAAATATAAATATTGTATTAAATTTATAAATATATTTAATAAAAATAAAATGAAGAGTGTTTACATGAAAATCTGGAATACTTTATTGTGTATAATAACCTAAAAAATTAATTTAAAGTAAATTATAACAATGAAATATAAGAAATAATTTTAGAAATAATAAGTTTATTATCTTTAGAAAATAATTAATAAAACAAATAAGAATTATATAACTTTATAAAGGAAAATGAATTGCAAAATTTATTAATTAATACTTAAAAAAAAAACATTATTGAAAATATATTGATTATTATAGGAAATTTATATATAAATTAAGGATAACCATAAGAACTATTTTATTTAGATAATTTAGTTTATAATACTATAAGAATATATTTAAATAATAAATTAGGAAAATATGAAAGAAAAAATAAAGAAATATATATTATATACACATGGTTTCTAAATATTCTTCTATTCAATGATCTTATATAAAATTAAGAAGATGTATTTTATTTATATTATATTATTTAAAATAAATAAATAAATAGCAATAAGAAATTAATTAGATTGTTTATAATATTTTTTATATAATAGAAGATTCTAAGAATGTGAAAAATATACTTAATTATTTCTCTTTTTTATGCTTATTTTAAAATACTAAATTAAAATCGGAAATATGTTCAAAAATATTTAAATTTTTATATTATCCTTTTTCTGAATATTAAATAATAAATAACTTATGTTTTTAAATATTACCTTATATTTCGTACTAGTCTAATCCTTAATTGTTTTAAGAATTATTAAATGTTATTAAACATAATGTTTAATATGTGAACAAAATTCATATATATGAATGTTTATGCTAAATTATAAATTTAAACTTAGAAATAATTCCTTTATTAATTAAGCATTCTATTTTTTCTTTTATAATAAATAATTCATATGTATATTTTTTTTTTATAATATTCATTTATTTTTATATTATTAATTAAGAAATTCATTAAAATTTTAGAATGTATAAATATAATTATAACAAATATTAGTTTTGAATAAATTCAAGAAATAAATAATTAATATAATATATTATAAATTTTAGTTGAAGAATTAAAAAAAACATAAAAAAAAGAAAACTCTATTTAGATTTTAGATTCTCTATTATACATAACTAACCAAAGTCTTTTTTTTTAAAATCAAAATTTTCTTTATTGTTTATAAAGTTTAGGATTGATATAAATAATTGAAATTTTAATATAAAAAAATATATTAAATGATTTCGAATATATATAAATAATTAAAAATATCGAAAATATAAAATGAAAAAAAAAAAAAAAAAAAAAATTAAAATCAGTTTTTTTTTATTTATATTTAAAAATATATAAATTATTTTTTAAATAAATAAATATGAGTTCTTAAATAAAATAATAATTATTAAATTTAGAAAATGAATTAGAGGAGAAAATTGAGCGAGAAAAAGATATGTGCAATCAAATCCATAATTTAAAAGAAGATTTAGAGGCCAAATTAAAATAATTAGATGATCCAAAACCATCCTAGGTGCCTAAAAAGCAATTGAAAAGACTAAATTATGTAGAATTTAAGCAATAAAAACAGATTTAAAGTTAAAAAATAATTAAAAATAATAAAAGTGTGGAAAATCATGAAGAAAGCTTGTCTTTTTCATAAAAAGAGTCCCCAAATATTGAATTAATATATAAAAATTAGCAATTATTTGATGAAAATATAAAGTTAAAATAACTTATAGCATTAAAGGAGTAAGAGTTAGAAAAAATGAGGGAAAATTAAGATTAGTTTATATAAAATTATGAAAATTTAAACATGAATTTTACAGAAAATATGAAAGAAATTGAAGAAAAGAATGAAATAATAAATGAATTATAAGAAAAATTATAAAAAATGTAAAAAACAATAGAAAACTAAACAAAAGAAAAAGCAGAAAAAAAATATTTATAAGAAAAAATAAGAGAAAAGGAATACGAAATCTAAAAACTAAATGAAAATTTAGATTTATATTATTAAGAAATTTCCAATATGAAATTAGAAAATGAACAATATAAAATTCTCGAAAATGATTGGAAAAATGAAATTTCGAATAGAATATTAAAAGAAAAGGAAGTCGAAGATTTATAAGAATAAATTTAAGTCTTAAAAGAATAGATTAGAGTTAAAGAAACATAATAATTAGCCAAAAATCTACTCCTTTATGCAGAAAACGAAAGACTTTATATTATTATTACAAATCTTAGAAGTCTTTAATTATAAGGATTTAATAATAATAATAATAACAATATTAATAATAATAATGTTAATAATTAAGTATTTTCTAAAGATTCGAAAGATAATAAAGAAAATATTAATGATATTTAAAATTTAAAATTTCATTATGATATGAAAGCTAAAGAATGCGAAAATCTTAAATTAATAGTATAAAATTTGGAAAATTGTCCTGCTATTATTGCAGATTTGGAAAGAAAATTAAAAATTTAAATCTAAGAAAATAAAAAGATTAATTAAATTGTGTTTTAAAGATGTTAATAAGAATGGTGATCCTATTTTTTTTTTTATTTAAAAAAAAAAAAAATAATTATATTTTTATATTTTATTAAAAAAAAAAAAAAAAACTTATCTTACAAAAAAAAAAATAGCAATTAAAAAAAAACTACGAAAAAGAACTTCAATAAAAAAAATAATAAGCACTAGAAAAGCTTTAAGAATAATAAGACTTAGATGAATTTGAGGTACAACCTACCAAAAAAATTCTATCAAATTTAACAAAAGGAAAATCCCAATAAGAAGAAATAACTGAAATAAGAAAAGATTGTCCATATATATCAACAATTAAAAGACATATGTTAGATTTTGATTTTGAAAAATTATGTAGTATTTCACTTGCAAATTTAAATGTTTATGCATGCCTTATTTGTGGAAAATATTATCAAGGACGTTGCAAAAATACAAATGCATATTTACATGCCTTAGAAACAAATCATCATATGTATATAAATTTACATAATGCAAAGGTTTATTGTCTTCCAGATAATTATGAAGTTTAAGATTAAAGTTTAAATGATATAAAATATAATTTAGCACCAACATATTCATAAGAATAAATAAAAAATTTAGGTATTATATTATAAATAAAATATATTTTAATTAACTTTTGTTTTTTAAATATAATAGACACATTAAAACCTAGTTCAAAAGCACTTAATGGAATTGATTATATACCAGGTTTTGTTGGATTAAATAATATTAAAATGAATGATTATGTTAATGTTATTATTTAAGCCTTATGTAGAGTTCCTTTGTTAAGAGATTAAATTATTTTGTATAATAATACTGTTAATTAAGATGTTTTCGATCTCAAGACTTTACTTTCGAAAAGATTTTCCAATTTAATAAAAAAAATTTGGAATCCGAAAAACTTTAAAGGATAGGTTTCTCCACATGAATTATTATAAGCTATAGTTCTAAAGAGTAATAAGAAATTCAATATTAATTTATAAAGTGATCCAATTAAATTATTATGTTGGCTACTTAATTCTATCTAAATTGAATTAAAAGACACACACTTTTCTGATCTTATTGAAAATTGTTTTAAGGGAGAAGTTGAAGTTCATACTTATAAACCATTATGTAATTATTTTGCTAAATATATTAAAACTAGTATATATAAAAAAAGAAAATTAAATTGGATATTCAAGTGTTCCTAAAATAGAAGCAATGTCATTTATGTAGATATTTTATTTATATTTTTAATTATTTTTATAATTTTTAATTTATATAAAACAACAACAAAAGTTATTTAACTTTAAATATTCCTCCTCCTCCTTTACATAAAGATGATAGTTTGAAAATAAATATTCCAGAAATGCCAATATTTAACTTGTTAAAAAAATTCGATGGTGTAACAACTTATGATAATCCTAAATTTAGAAAAACTTATAGGATAAAAAAATTACCAAAATATCTTATTTTACATATGGAAAGATTTACTTTTAATAAATATTATTTAGAAAAAAATCCAACTATAGTAAGATTTCCATTAAACAATTTAGATCTTAAAGGATGTATATATAAAAATATAAATAAAGTTTATATATTATTTCAATAAAAAGATGTCGATGAAGGATCCTGTACTAAATATAATTTATTAGCAAGTATTTGTCATGAAGGTCCAACTAAAAATGGAATATATAAAATTCATGTAAGAAATAAAGCAAATAATTAATGGTTTGAAATTTAAGATTTATATATAACTTAAGTTATTCCATAAAGAATTAGCGTTTCAGAAGCATATATATAAATATATGAAAGAATAGAAGAAGGATTTGAAATCTAGAATTGACAAATAATAAATAATAAAAAAATTCTATAATTAAAATAAATATAACCATATAAAAATAATAAGAAAGTAATATGTTTTTTAATAAACATTCAACAGCAACCTTATTTTTTATTTTAAACTTAATTTTGGGTTTACAAAGATTTTTTTTATGTGTTATTATCAACTTAAATATTAATTTATTTTATAAAAGATTATTCTCTTCTAATAGTAAGATTCCTTGGTCTTAATTCTTCTGGAAAATCATCAATATTACTAAGTATTTCTTATAAAATATATATTTTTAATTAAATTTAATATAATACCTTTAACTAATAATTAAAAAGCTTCATTTACATTAGAACTATCTAAAGCTGAAGTTTCTAAGTAAGCCATATCATTTTATTTTGCAATTTCGATTGCTTCGTTTTAACTTTAAGCTCTTTAATCATTTAAATCGCTTTTATTTCCAATTAAAATTTTCTTAATCTATTTACTAGCATTATTATTTATTTCTTTTAACCATACTTTTTCTACGTTTTCAAGGCTTTCCCTTTTTGTAACATCAGTAACAATTAAAATACCTAAAGCTCCTTTATAATAATGGGGAGCCATTGCTCTAAATCTTTCTTATCCTGCAGTATCCCATATTTATAAGTTGATTGTCGAATTATCAACTTTTACTATTTTTTTGCTATATTCAACTCCTATAGTTGATTTCATATCTATATTAAAACGATCATCAGCATATCTGGTCATTAAACATGTTTTTCCTACCCCACTATCACCTATTAATAAGATTTTAAATTAGTATGTGTTTTCTTATTATTATATTGACATTTTTTTTTTAATAATTTTTTTATTTATTATTATTTAATTTAAAGTTATTTATATAATATATTTTTTTTAAATTAAATTTATATTCATTTTATTATTTTTATTTTATTTTTAATTTACTTTTTTTATTTTATTTCAATTTAATTATTTTTCTTTTACTGTTTTTTTTTATTAAAAAGATATTTTTTAGTTTATCGCTAGTATTAATTAATAATTTAAATATTTAAAAAATAATATTAAAATAAATAAACTTTTTATCATATTCATAAATCTTATTTATATAACAAAAACTTTTATATTAAATTTTAAAACAAAAGTAAAAATCATTTTAAAATATTTTATATTTAATTTGTATTATGTATTATTTCACAAACCAAAAATTAATAAATAAATAATATTTAGTACTTTTTAAATCATCAGTATTTTTATTTAATAATTTAATTTTACTAAATATGTCTAGACATTGATTTCTAAATGCTTTAATTTTAATAGATAAGGATTATATTTTTATTTTGTTTGTATATAAATATTATTATTTATATATAAGAACTTAACTTTAGTTTTTTATTTTTAATTATATTAATATATAATAGAATTAATTTATTTTTTTCAAATAAGAAAAGCTTTTTTAATTTATATTTAATTTTGAAGAGTTTACATAAAAGCTTATTTGTTATTAAATTTATTTATAAGTATTTATTTAATAAATGTTATTTACTTATTTTTATATCTCTAATTTTTCTTTATCTATTATTATCTTAAATAGAGTATTTATATAACAGATTTAATTTGATCTTATTCATTCATGAAATTTTGTTTTTTTTTTAAAAAAAGTCTTATATTATTTTTTTATTATTTAAAATCTTAAAAAACATTATTATGATTATGTTAAATTTCATCTATAATTTAAATAACTCATATGTATAATTGTAATATATAATATACTATTTTAATTTACTCTATTAATTCTTTTTTAATTATAAATTATTATTTATTTAATCAAACTTCTGCTTAATTTAATTACGCTTGTAAATTTCCCCCATAAATTTTGATGCAATATTCAATACTTATATGTTCTCGAGTTTATTTTTATTTTCATTTAATTTTTAATTATTTCTTTTATTTTAGCTTTTGTGCTTTTTAAATAATTATTTTGTTTATGTTAAATAATCTATTATTTGTTTAAAATATTAAATATTAGCTTTATATAAACTTAATTTCTTTTATATTCTCATCTAAATAAATAACCTTTAATTATTTTTTAAAGAGAAATAAAACTAAAAAATTTCTAAATCAATGTTTATTTTAACAATGAACAAATATGTATAAAAGATAATTTAATATAAATCATTTTATATATATTTTTAAATTTTTATTATTTTTAATTTTTTTTTAAAAAAAAGAAGAAAATTGTTTTAAAAATTTATTAAAAAAACATATATTTTTAACATATTAATATTTTATTTTTTATTCATTTATTTTAAAGTTTCCATTCTGTTCCGTTAATTTTAAATAAAAGATTTTATTATTAGTATCTAAAAACACTCGAAATCTCTTCGTCTTATAGATTTTTGCTTATATAATGTGAATTATTTAAAGGTGTTAAATGTTTAATTTAAGTTTTTTGTATAATTCTAGAGTTTTTTCTTTCTTTTCTATATCTTTGATCTTTAGAATTCAACTTATTGATATACAAAGGTGTTTCATACTTATTTTAACTATCAATAATTTAAATTTGTTCTTCAAAAGTTAATTAATTTTTATTTAAATTAGGTTTAATGAATTTTTGGTTATTTACTTAATCATTTTTCGGAAACTTAATTTAATCGTAATTTTTTTAATAAAAGCTTTTTTTAAATTCATTTTCATCTTGAATGTTTCTATTTTTATTAGATTATAAAATCTATGTTTTTTTAAATTATTTCTCTTTTCTTTTTATTTTTAAATAAACATAAATTTTATTTTTTGTTACTAAACAGTATTATATGAGGAAACTATATTTGTATTAAAGTCTTAAGAAACAGATACAAATTTAATATCATTGTTTTTATGCATTTAATTAACTTTAGAATTATGGTCTTAGGTAATATTATTTTATAAGTTTATTTTATTTTATTATATATCTTTTAAAGTGTTTTTTTATTTGGATACTTGTAATTATTATGGTTAGTTTAGTTATAAATTTTATTATTGTTATTGTATTACTAGTTTTTAATTTAATATTTTTTAGGGTTTTTTTTTATCAACAAAGTCAGTCCAAAATTATTAACTTTGCTAAATTTTTATATTTTCTAATTCATCCATTTTTTTTTAATATTATTCAAAAAGAACATCTTTACGAATATTATCATTTATATTGATTACTCTTTATATGGCTTAAATATTTTAATCTTCTTACATAAATAAAATACTATCTATTTAATTTTTTTCTGATTGGTCTTTTTCATTTATTGATTAATGGTTATTTTTGTTAAATTTTAAATTTTTTTATTTTTTTCAATGAATATTTTTAATTTATTTTCACCAACATACATATCTAATAATTTTTGTCTTTCTATTTTTATTTTTTTTAATCATAATATAATAATAAAAAAAAATACTTTTAAAATATTGTTTCAAATTTATATATTTTTCTTAAAATTAGAAATCCTTTTAATTTATATTTTCAATAAACTTTAATGCCATTTTATTTAACTCTTCTTTTTTTTCTTAAAATTTTTATAAAGTATATTCTATATCTAGCTCTTGAACATCATTTTCATATTAATTTTCTTCTAATTCTTAAGATTTTCTATTACTATTATCTTTTTTTTATTATTATTTTTAAATTTATATAATAATTAAATGAAAAAAAAAAAACATTATTCATCATTAATAATATTGTCTAATTTATTGCCTGCTTTTAATCTTTAAACTCTTCTGGTACTTTTTTTAATTTCCTAAATAAGGGAAGTAGATCTAGTAATATTTTTTGTATTGACTTTAATTTTACTTAGTTTCCTATTATCAAACTACATTTTATATAAAACGGTTAATAAGTTATAAATTTCTAAAATTTTTTTATTATAATAATTCGCTACAGGTTTATTTTCTTCTTATTATACAAAATCATCTGAAGGATCTTATAAACTTATTGAAATTTTTTCAATTTCTTTTATTTAAATTCTTAACTTCTTTAAATATTAATTTTTTTGACTTTTTGTTTTTAAATGAACATTACTTTCTTTTATTATTAAAAGGTTGCTTAATAAATATTAGTGTATTTTTTAAAAAACTTCATTTAAATCTCGAATCCATTAATCTCTTTTTAATTTATTATTTATTTTTTAAGTTTTGTCTTCTATATTTTTTGGTGAGTTTGATACCTTAAATTAAGGCTTTTTTAATTATTGTTATTAACTCAGTTTTTTTTATTTTATTTTTAAAAAATGTTTTATTTAGTTTATAAAATTAAAAAAAAATAAGACTAAATATAATTAAATAAAAATATAAAGATATAATTACTTTATAAAAAAAAAAAAATCCGAAAAAAAAAAAATGTTAGATTTATTTAAAGAAATCGACTTTTCAAAAGAACTTAAAGAAAATCCTAAAATCGAGCCATACTTAAAACAAAAAGCAAAAGAAATATTTGAAGAAACTTCCGAAACAATAAAAAAGCCAGTATTTGATAAATAAATATTATTCAATAACTTTGTTTTAGTAGTAAACCTTCCATAAGCTCCCAAAGAAAAATTAGGTTTATTAAATAAAGTTATGATTGAAAAAGTATTACTAGCATGTCAAGTTAAGGACAATTTAAAAAGTTTAGAATGGGCATACTAACCTGACGGAACAACTTCAGGGTTTCTTTTTTTTTATTTTTTTTAAAAAAAATATAAAATATTTATATTTTTTATATATCAAAAATAAATTAAAAGATATGCTATTTTTGAATTTGATAGTGTTGAAAAAGCTGAAGAAGCTGCTGTTGGACTTCATGAATTTAAGTTTGGTTCAAATGTTTTAAAAGCATATGTTTTATCTGATTTTGATAGATTCTTTGATATCCCTGATGTTTTCTCACCACCAGTAAATTTAGAAAAGAAAGAACTGTATGATTGGTGTTAAGAATATCGTAAGAAATAATTTTGTATTAAAATAGGAAATTAATTGTATCCTTATTCTTATTCTCATTTAGAAGGAGAACCTTCATAAGTTTTATAATAATAAGGTATTATTCTTTTTTTTTTTAAAAAAAAAAACAATAATCTTAATAAATATAGAATTTATTGAATTAAAAGAATAATATTCGTAAATAGAATGGAGCTAAAATGGAACATATTTAATAGAATATTTATCAGACGGATTTTAACTTTATGGAGGATCTGACTTTAAACGATTATCTTTTTTTAAGCATTAAGGAGTAAAAAATGTTGATTTTTCCCCTTGTGAGAATTATGTTCTATCCTTTAACGGAACTATGGCAGACTAAGCAGGTGAAAGTACTTAAGATGATGAAAACTATATAGTATGGCATGTTGGAGAGGTATCAAAATTAAGAACCTTTAAAGCAAAATAAAGTGATATTTTTGGAACTTTTAAATGGAATTATGATGGATAATACTTAGGAAGAGTTTAAGATCATGTATTGAGTATTTATAAGCTTCCAGAAATGGATTTATTAGCAGATTAATAAGGCAATAAGAGTTCAATTAAAATAAGAAATATACAAAAGTTTTATTGGAGTACTAAATAAAATATTATCATAGGATGTTCTTATAGTGGAAATTTAAGAGAACATGATAAATAGGTATCTACAAGAATTTCTATGTTCGAAATTCCTTCAAGAAGAGAACTTAAATGGAGAAATTTCAATACTGAAAGCTCTAATATTGAGCTTTATCCATCTGCTAATGGATAATATATTTGCGCTATTATTAAGAAGATTAAAAATAAAAAAGTTAGCTCATATACACTTTAAGTTGCTAATTTAAAAAACAAAGGACTGATGGAAATCACTGAAATCGAAATTAATGAAAAAGTACATAATTATGTTGTTGAACCTAATTCTGGTAGAATCGGGTTTGTTTTTAGATAGGAAGAATAAAGTATTTTTTTTAAAAATAAAAATATTTATTTATTATCTTTTTAAATAAAGGGGGTGAAACTAATACTATGATTTTCCATTCATAAATCTATTAAGTTGAAGAAGAAAATAAAAGTTTTGCAATTAAAGAAGTTGGTAGATTTAATAATAGAAACACTAATGAGATTATGCTTTCTTCTAATGGAACATTCTTTGTTTTAATTAATAAAGATCTTAATTCTGCTCATTGTGGTATTCTTGAAACTGGGTTTACAAGAAAAGAAAAAGGAAAATATGTTAATGAATTTACAAAAAATATTTCTAACTTGTCCTATATGGATTATGCTAGTTTTGATGCTTCTGGATTGTATATTATTACTGCTTCTAAAAAAACTAAAACTTATTAAATTTGGACTGCTTATGGGGAATAATTATATAAAGATACTATTACTGATGTTTAAGGTTATTAGTCTATTTTATGGAGACCATATTTCAAAGATTTGTTAGATGAAAAGAAAATTGCTGAAATTGAGTTTAAATTCAAAGAATTTAAGAAAATGTAAATTAGTTATTTTTTTTATTTTATTTTTTTTAAATATTTAAATAGATATGAAGATGAAGACTTGAAAATTACTAATAAAAAGGAATGGGAAAGAAAAGAAAGAAGAGAAAAATTAAAGAAAGAGGTAATTTATTTGTTTCTTTATTTTTTTTTGTAATAAAATTAATTTTTTTTTTTTTTTTTTTTAGTTTTTGGAATATGTAAACAAAAAAAGATAAGAATATTAAGAAAGTAGATACTAAAGAATTTAATTATTAGGTATTTTTATTTTTCTTTTTAAAAAAATATATAAATTAACAAAACAAAACAAAACAAAAGGATTTGATGAGGATGCTGAAAGTGATTTAAGTTGGGATGAATTTATTGAAAACGAAAGAGTAATAAATACATAAATAATAGATTTACAAGAAGACTAAGATAATGATATTTGAAAAAAATAAAAATAAAAAAAATATAAAAAAGAAACTTAGTTATTATAAATTTCATTTTATTATTATTTTTTTAAATAAAAAATAATTATAATACATATATATAAATAATTATAAAAAAAAAAATATATATATATGATTTCAATCTTCAAAAGTATTCTCATGATATTGTATAAAATTATTCATAATAGTGAAATATTGTTATTTTATAGTATCCAATTCTTTCCAATTGCTATCTTAATTTTCACATTAAGTTTTTAAAATATTACATAAACCTTATTTTTCTTCAAGTTGTAGTTAATAATTATTTACCGTATTATTTAAATCAAATATTTATTCTTTTAATTAATCATTTTCATGATTTATTTCTAATTTTTCATTTTTAATATTTTTTATTACTTAATTAAGTTACAAAATTTAATCATTTAATAAATTTTCATTTAAAATTCGATTTTCTAATTAATCATTCAACATTTAAATTTATTAATTAATTTCAGAATTATCTTAGTTTTTAATTTCTTGAATATAATTTATTTATTCACTCATTTAAATTTATTACTCTCTTATTTGTTCTTCATATTTTGTTAAAATTTCATTCTTTACTTACATTTCTTCTTCCATTTGCTAAGTTTCAATTTAAAGTTTTTCTATAACATCATCTTTTTATATTAAAAGTTAATTCATTTAATCATTTTCTTATATTACATTTTTTATTTACTATTCCATCTAATAAAATATATTCTTATACTTTAATGCTTCGTTTAATTTTTCTTATAAGTAATTTATTTGCTTTTATTATTCATTATTTAAATCCGAATTTTTTTTCTATTCACTAATTATTTCATCTTATTATTATATTACTTGTTCTAATTGATCTATTCTTTCTGTTATTTGACTTAACTGGTCTTTATTTTGACACTTCAATAATTCAATCTCCTCTGTTTTATCCCCAAGAATTTAATTTAATTATCGGTTTTCTTATAATAATTAATTTATTTTCTAATCTAAAATTTAACGCATTTTTTCACTTTTATTACCACTCATTTTATATCTATATTTAACTTTTTTTTTTTTTTTTTTTTCAAATTTTTATATTTTTGTTTAAAATATAAAATAAAATAAAAAAATAGAAAAATGAAAATTAGTTATGGTAATTAAATATTATTTTTTTTAAAAAAAAATCAATTATATAATTTAGATAAAATATCACCTTTATTTTATACAGGATTGTAAACGGTTTCAATTTATTCAATAATAAATTTTTAATAATCTCTTTTAGATTTTAGTTAAACTTTTACAATATTTTTTTGGTTATCTGTTTTTATTGTTTATCTATTTTATTTAATAATACATTTGAGTGACGTAAAATTCAATCATACTTTTTGTTCATTATTTTAATAAAAAAGCCCGGTTTTGTAAAACAAGAAAATATATTAAAAGCGAACAAATAATAAAATGAAATTGTATAAAATAAAATAATAAAGAAGAATATTAAATAAAATTAATTAAAAGTAAATAAAGAAAGCATAAAAAGTAAAAAAAAAATAATGTAAAATAAATTAATAAATAAAAAAGTTAGTTTTAATTAAAAGGATTTAAAATTTAATAAAATTAAAAAAAATATCATATAGCAAAATATCGAACTTCCTTAGTGTGAGTTGACAATTGAATAGGAATAAACTAATACAAACCAATATTAGTTTAGATTTGAAGATACAATTAAGAGTGATCCAATTGACTAAATAAACGTCTTGGACTATAATTAAAGTGATAATTTTCCTTATTCTTTAAAAACTAAAATAAGTAAACAAGAAATAGAAGAATAACAGTAAAAAGAAACTTAAAACTAATTTATAAATGAAAGCTAAAATTAATAGAAAAAAAAAATTAAAATAAATCACACCAGATAAAAAAATTATTAAATTATCACATTTTAAAATTTATAAAACCAATAAAATAATACAATAGATAATGTTAGTTACTTTTAATTTATTATAAATATTTAAATAAATAATTATTTTTTTCATAAAAAAAAAAAGTAAAGAGTATCAAGTTAATTACCAACTTTATAATAAATAATTAAGAAAAAAACTGATAAAAAAAATATATTTAAATAATTTAATAAAAATAATCATATAATAAATAATTTATAAAACTAAAATATAAAAAAAGATTTTTAAATACCTATCTTAGGTAAGAGATACTGCAATTATTGTTTTTAAAATATGCCAGTAAGAACAAAACACTGTAAAGATTGTAATAAATGTGTAGCTTTATACGATCATCATTGTCCTTGGGTTGGAAATTGTATAGGAGAAAAAAACAAATGCATTTTTTATTGGTTTTTAATATTTTAATAATAGGAAATAATTTTTGGTTTACTATCTGTTATTTTTTTATATAAAAATACATTTTTTTATTTTTTTTTATTTTGAAAAAGATATTAATTCAAGTTTAAAACTTAGGAATAAAATAATTTTTAAATGTGAAATATCTTTTAGTCTTTTTCAATATATTTTTCTTAGTTTGCATTTATATTTTGCTTTTTATACTTTTTATATTTCATACATATATTGCTTTTTAAAATTTAACGACATGTAAAATATTTATTAAATTAGTATAAAATATAATAAAAAAATAAGGGGAATACGCAAGCTGGGTAAATATAAGTTATTTACAATAGATTCCAAGAGAATTCGGTTCTCCTTTTTCCAAAGGAATTTTAAATAATTTAATTTTTTTTTGTAAATGCAGATTATTTTTAAAAAATTAGTAAACTGAATTTGTATATACCAAATATCCATAAAATAGCTAATAATAATGAAAAAAAAAGAATGTTCATTCCGAGGATTGAACTCGGGACCTTTTGCGTGTAAAGCAAACGTGATAACCACTACACTAAACGAACTTTTACAAAATTAATATTATAAATTGTTAATTTTAAAATTATTTAAATTTTAAAGCTTTTTCATATCTATATTTTTATAGAATAATTTGTCTCTTTAAAATTTATTAATTAATTTTTTTTTATATATATAAAATAAATTAAAAAATAAAACAAAAAACTGTTTTAAATAGCAATAAAAAAAAGGATTAAAAATAAACCTATATTTTCTTTTATATATTGTATATATTTTTATTGTTTATGTTTAAAAGAATATATAAATTTAAAATATTATTATTTTTGTTAAAAATAATATTAATATAAGTAAAAAATTTAACAATATTTAATTATATTTTAAGTAAAGATATATGTCATTCCAACAACATATATAAAATTATTAAAAATATCTAAAATGTAATAGATCTTAAGTATATTTAACACTAATATATTATTGATAAATATTTGATACTTTATTTTAATTAAAAATATTCAACTTTAACTTTTTTTGAATTTCTAAACTTAAACATCTTATTCTTAATTTTTTTATTAATTTTAAATATATTCTTCATCTTCTTACTTAATTTACTCTAAAATAAGTTCTTCTTCCTATATTAAATCACTACTATCTGATTAAAGCTGTTCTTAAATTTATTATTAATTTAAATCTACATTATTTTCATTTTAATCTAGAAAAATGTTTTCATTAAGGAACTCATTTTTTTCTACTTCAATTTCATCATCTTCTTTATTAGTTTTAGAATAGTCGACATATTTTCTTTTTACAAACTAAACATAATTTATCATATTTTAATCAAAATCAGGTGTTATTTCAGCAAAAGAATCGAACTCGTTTTCTTCTTCTTGAAAAGTTAAGCATTTACCTTAATATTTCTTATCATATTAAAATAACATTTTTAAATTATCCTAGTCATGTTATTATATAATTTATTTTTCATCAATTACATTACTACTTAAATCTTCTTTTAAAAATTATCTTTACAATATTTTTTCTTCCATTGTACCTGTACAAAAAAGCCTATATATATAAACATTTTTTGTTTATCCATCTCTCCATATTCTTCCCATTACTTAAAGATCATTTGAAGGATTCCAATCTACTTCCATTAAAATCATTCGATTTGCAGCCGTAAGATTAAGTCCCGTCCCTCCTGCTTTAGCACATAATAAAAATATATTATAATTAGAATTTTGATCTTGAAACCTTTTTTTTTTATTTATATATTTTTATTTTTAATTACTAATCTATTAATTTTTATCTTTAAGTACTTTGCACTGAACCATCAAGTCTTAATATTTTAAAATGCTCGCTTTCATGCTAATTTATTAACTATTAAATTAAATCTAAAGTTTAAGTATAATATGAAACAATAATTATTTTTTCTTTTTAGTTTTTGAGTTTTTGTTAATCTTTAATTTAATAAAGAATGTCTTTTAAAAATTAGGTTTTAACAGAATTTGCCCAGTCATTTAATTAAAAATCATGAGGAAAATATTATTTAAATTCAAAAGAATTTTTCTAATTTTTTTTTTTTAATGAAAATAAAAAATATAAGTATTGAAAAATACATTTTCCTAATCTGTATATAATATTTGAGGGTGATTTAATATTTTACGAATAGATGTTAATAAAGTAAGAACAGCAGTTTAATTTTCATTAAAATCATAATTTTATTAAACCTTAGAATATAACATTTTTTGTAATTCAGTCATTTTTAAAAAAATATAAAATTCATATTTTGGTGGAAGTAGCTTTTCTAAAATATCAGCTTTTCTTCTCAAAACAAATTTTTAAATAATATTTGAAAGCTCTTTACTTCTCATTTTAGCTTATTTAATAATTTCTTCCGATGCATCAGTTTTGATACTAGCAATTATAGGATCCGAAAAAAGGCTTTTAAATTATTTATCATTTTCAAAAATAAAAGGATTAACAAATCTAAAATAAAATATATAATAAAAAATAATTATAAATATATATATAAATATATAATAAAAAAAAAAAGGTATATATAAATAAATATATATCTATATATATATATATATATATATCTATATATATATATATATGTATATATATATATATGTATATATTATATATGTATATATGTATATATATATATGTATATATTTTTTTAATATTCTTATATTTTACTTTATACATGAATACAATTCATTTAATGAATTTTATAAAGGTGTTCCTGTTAAAATAATTCTTCTTTTGCATTAAATTAAATCAAATTATTTAAAAGTTTTTATGTTCATATTTTTAAGTTTATGTCCCTCATCAAATATTAATAAATCGCAAATTTTATTAAATATTTTTACATGAGTTCTAAATTAATCATAAGAAATTAGTAATACTTTTTAATAACTTCCTGCAAATTCTTTACAAGTAGTAATAACCTTTTGTTATATTTATTATATAAATATATATTTTCTTTATTTAAAATACATCTTCTCTTTTTCCTATTGCTATTTTAGGGATTAATCTCTCATCCCCAAGCCATTTTCTTATTTCCTTTTTCCACACACCTAGTAAACTTACAGGTGTAACAATAATAACTTTATTTAAAAAAGGCTTACAACTGCTAAAGGGATCTTTTTATTAAAAAAAAATATACATAATATGAGATTATTATAAATTAATAATTACTTCTTCTTAAAAGTACCCATATCAAAGCTATCGTTTATAATGTTTTTCCTAATCCCATACTATCAGCTAATATACATCCACTTATTTCAGTTCCTCTTTTTCCTGTAATACATTCATACATGAATTTTACGCCTTGTTTTTAATGAATTCGCATATTTTCAGATAAATAAGAGTCTATATAAACTGGAAATATATCATCTTCTTTATTATCAGATAAAAGGTATGAATTTTTAGGAACAATCATGTTTTTTGGGATTAAAGTTGAAGGTTATTATGGTTTTTATGTGACTAAATTTGTAATATACCTATTTTAATTTTTATTATAATATTATTAATACTTTTGATTTTTAAGTTTTTTTACTTTTTTTAAGCTTAAATTTTTATGTTTTAATTATTTTTTAAAAAACAGTTTCCAGAAAGGAAATCTTCTTCTTATACAATATCAAGTTATTAAACTTATATTAAGATAAATTTTATAATAAAGTATTTTTTTATTTATTTATTTTGATAAATATTATATACTAAAATAAGTTCCTATTATATATTCTTCTTCATTATCAGGATTTGGACAATATATTTTTTATTAATAATTATCATATATTTTCTCACCATTTGCGTTGTATATTTATACTTTATTATATTTAAAGCAAATTATACCATCGTCATATGATATTTTTTTTTTTTTAACATCTTTAGACCAAAGGCATTTATAAAATTTAATTTGAATTTCAGATTCTATAAGAATTTTTTTTTTTTTTGATATCTATAAATTATAAAATTTTTAACTTTTTTCTGACTCTTCTTTTTAATCCTCTTATTTTATTTTAAGTTAAACTTTAAATGTGTTATGTAATTTTGATTTTTCCATTAATTAATTATAAAAATTAATATATAAAATATTTTTTTAAAAGATATAATTATAATTAGTTAAAAAAAATTAATATGTTTTAGCAGATATTGTTTATATAAATTATAAAAGAAGAAAAATAATTCAAATAATAGAAATTCTAAAAATTTAAATAAAAAAATTTGTAAATATAAAAAATTAATAAAAAATAAATAAAGTTCATTTTTTTTGTTATAAATAAATAAACTAAACTATTATTATTTTCAAGTTTATTAAATATTTATTTAATAAAATATATTCTAATATTAAGCAATAATAAATATATATATGTCTAAAATAAATTTAAAATATTTAAATTTAAAATTTTTCATTTAAAATTTGTTAGTTAGTAGAAAAAAAAAAAATTAATAATATTTTTTGAAAACTTAATACTTGATTTTAATTTTTATTAAAATATAAAAAGGTGGCAATAAATTATATATATTATAAATATAGATTTTATATTAAAGTCAATTTTATTAAATAATTATATTAAAGTAGGGGTGTTTGTTTTGATTTAATAACAAAAAATTAATGTTTAAAATTATAAATTTTTGTAAATGATTATTTTATTTAAAAAAAAAATATTTTTTAAAAATTAACAATCTATTATAAATTAAAGTATTTTTTAAACAGACAATTTCAAAACACAAAAAGTAATAAAAAAAAATAAAAGAAAAAAAAATAACAAAAAATAATATATATTCAAAAAAAAAAAATGATAATTAATGTAAAAAATACAATACTTCCATAAAAAAATAATACGAGTAAATAAAACTAAAGTTTAGAAAACTTAGAACAAATAATGAAAAAAGCTAATTAGATACCAAAAAATATGAAGAAATATTAATATAAAAAATATGATATAAATGATATTCTACATCCTTTAGATTCAATAATAACTACAGCAGAATCGATAAAAAAAACAGTTTAAACTCTATGAGAGAAAAAGAATAAATCCATTAAATAAGTCCTTTTAAACATGATATAACATAAAAATATGAAGATTATTTATTTTAAAATTTTGATAAAATATATAATGTAAAATTTATAGAAAAAAATAATGTATAAAATTAAACTGTTGAATGTATAAAATCTTTAAAAGAAAATTTTGAAATAATAAAAGTTGAAGAGGATTAAATAAAATAAAAAAAGAAATCTATTAATTAAGAATAATAATATAGATAAGAAATAAATAATAAAATTAAATGTCAAAATTAATAAATAAATAAACAATATAATAATATAAATAAATAAATAAATTAAAATGATATTCAATAAAATAAGTAAACATAATATGAAAAAGAATAATAATTATAATAGTAAAAATAATAATAATAATAATAATAATAATAATAAAAATAACAATTATAATAACAATAATAAAATAAATAGCAATCATAATAACAATAACAATTATAATAACAATAACATTAATAATAGTAGTTATAATTATAATTATAATAACTATAATAATAATAATAACACTAAAAATAATAATAAATATTAATTTAATCTTAAAATAATCATCCAAGGACTAGAAGTTTTTATTTGAATTCTTCATAAATATAAAAAAATAGTAACGAAAATAATTTAACTATTAATAATGTTTCTATTTTAGCTCATCCTCCTCAATATCCTCAAAATTCTTAAAAATAATAAAATATTAATTTATATAAAGTATTTTATAAATCTTAATTAAGATAAAAAAATAAACTATCTTATGACTAAAACTAAACTAATAATAATAATATAGTTAGAGAGAGTTTAAATTTTAGTTTTAAATAAAATATTGAAGGTAATTAAAGTTTTTTAAATAAATCTTTAGGAGTATAATAAGTAAATGAAAGGTAAAATAATTTGAAAATAAATGTAATTCCCAATTATAATAATAATAATAGATATGATCATTATCACTCTAATAATTAAGAAAATATTTCTCATATTATTAATTAATCTATTGTTTCTAATATCAGTAAAAACATTTCTAATGTTTATAATATTAAAACTAAGAATTAATTAGATGATAAACATAATTAACTCAGAATGAGTAATAATTTACCTATTAATTAAATATAAAATTCTATAGGAAAAAATTATTAATAAAAAAAAAGTAACTCCTTAATCAGATCTATAATGTAATTAAAAAAATATTTTTGAATAGTATTTGTATTTAATATTATTTTTTTTATATAAGTAAAATATATATATATAATTATATTTTCCTAAATAAATTATAAAATTATTATTAAATTTATTTATATGTTTTTATCTTTTTGTTATATTAATAAATGTTATTTTATATAATAATAATTTATTTTTTAATAAATTATTTTAAATTTTTATTTATTTTAATTAGTATAAATTAGAATATTTTTTTTAAAAAAAAAACAATATACCTATAAATTACTTTTTTATATTCTGATTTTTTTTATTTTTATTTCAATAAATATTATTAACATATAAAAAAAGATTATTAACTAATGATTTTTTTTCATATATAATTAAATTTAATAAAGATCTTTTATATTTTGTAATTCATGTTTTATTTTTTTTTAAATTAAAAAAATGAATTAAATAATAACAGTTTTTTTCAATAAATTATAGAATAAATAAAAATATAAAAAAAAATATAATATAAAACCTTTTCAATTTTCAGTATCTTTAGTTTCGTAATTTTAATTAAAAAATCTATTTTATTTTTATGTGTTAATATATAATTTAATTTTTTGAGTTTATTAAATAGTCCAATCACTCCTTTTAATAGTACTATAATTTTATTAATCAATACTACATATGCTGCCTTAATCCAACTCACTATTATAATTCTGGCTTTCAAAATCAAATTGAAAAGAGTTTAAATCCCCTGAATGTATACATTAAACATTAGGAAAATTACTATTTATTTATTAAACAAAAGATTATAAAACTTATATTTCAGGTCTATCTTATTATTTAATAATAAGCATTTACTAAACAATAGTTGATATATATTCACCATACATACAATTTAAAGAATCGATTCTTTAATAAAGTAAATTTTAATTAATTGTAAAGTTTTAATATAAATCCTTTTAACTTTAAAGTAAACACATTTCTAAAATAATAATTCCTAAAGAAAACATATCGCTCATAATTTTTTTATGCTCAATATTTTAATTCTTGTCTTTTAATTAATGCAATAAGAAAGGTGATATGTAATTTATTTCGATATTTTCTTTAATAATTGCTTAATAATTTGAATTTATTGACTAAAAAAAATTCCTTATAAGTACTTTTACTTCACCTTCTGAAGAAAGAAATATATTTTCTGGATTTAAATACTAATGTGAAAGCCCATATAAGTTCAAAGTGTATAAAACTGATAAAACGGACTTCAAAAAATACCAAATTTCTCCTTAGGTGTAATATTGACTTTATTTTTAACGATAAAGTATATCTTTTTTTAATGAATGCTATGTATATTCCTAATAAAATTTAATTTTCCAAAACGAAGTACATAATTTGCTTATTCGATTAATTTTTATAAATATTAATTTTAATATTTGCGGATGTTATATATTTATAATCTAATTTGCTTCTTTATTTGTATTTTATAATTAATATTTGTTTTCATTTTCAATTATCTTTCTATATATTACTATTTGAAATTAAAACTAGGATGATTTTACAAACTTAACTTTACCAAAATATGTATTATTATATTCTTTTGTTATTAATATGAAGCTTTTTTTACTTAATATATTTTAATTTTCTAATTAATCTTTTTAAAATATAAGGTTTCCCATTTAAATTTATTGTTTTTTTTTAGATTATTTTATTAATTATGATTTTTTTTATTTTTTATAAAAAAAAAAATATAAAATAATACAAATAATTTTAATAAAATATCTAAATTATTTATTTTAATATTCCTCATTAATTCTTAAATTCCTCATATTCTTATTCTTCATCTTCATCACCATCAGTATATGAAACATATAACTTTTTTTCTCCGAAAATATCTATAAAATTAATCAAACCAGCAAAAATAGTAATTAATAAAGTTGAAAGAAGTCCATATAAAATAGCAATATCAAATTAAAACTTTTTAATTGTCAAATCAATAATTATTCCTATAGCAATAGGATTAATAAAAAGTCCTAAATAATTAAAAAAAATAGAAAAAATAAAATATAAAATATATATAAACCCGTTTATAAGAAACAATTAGCTAATCCACCTGCAGTACCAAGATTTTTTTAATCAACAACAAGATTAATAGAAGGCCAAACAATTGATTAAATAATTCCATAACCAATACCAAGTAAAGAAAGTGCAAAAATAACCACAAAATAGCATTCATGAGGACTAGAACATGAATCTTTAGTATAAAAAACTAAAAAACTTCCATTAAAAAATAAGCCTCCAGCGATTGCAAAATAACCTTTTTTTCCATATTTATCAGAAAGAAACCCAATAATAGGAATAAAAAAAGCTCCTAAAATAAAAGGGAAAGTATATAAATTACTAGCATGATTTCTATGAATTTTATATCTATCAATTAAAATTTCTTTATTTTATTAAAAAAAAATATCGTTTTTATTATTTATAATTTTAATAAATACCTTACATATTAAACATAAAAGGTTCTAAAATCATAAATGTAATCATAATAAGTAAAACTATAAGCCAAAATATTAATTTAAAATGTTTAATATCAGCCAAATCAACTTTTTCTTACCCTATTGAATGCCCATTTTTTTTGCTTTAAAATGCATATTTTTTGTCAAAAAAATATAATACAAATACACTAAAAAGTGAAAATATACATACGTAAGCACCCAAAATTACAGATTTCCATAATATTTGTTCCTTATCATAATATTAAGGGTATAGAAAAGATGAAGTTACCATTGAAATTCTACCAAAACTAACTATAAGTCCCATTGCTAGAGATATATTATTATTTTTTATCCATTTAGATATCATATTATACCCACAAATATTATAATTTTCTAATCCTATTCCAAAAATCAATCGCCCAGCTAATAAAATATAATAGTTTTCGCAATAAATACCATAAGTACACATAATTTAACCTAAAGTTTACAAAATATTAAGTGTAATCATAACTTTAAAAACTCCTAATTTATCAATTAAATATCCAATTAAAAATGCTAAAGGAGGAATACTCATAACTGTATATAATAAATTGTATTAAAGACTATTTATTTATAAATGTGTTTTAATTTATTTTTCTAAAATTGCAGGAAAATCGTCAGAAAAATAATTTCCTAAATTTGCACATATTGTAAGAAACAGTATTAAATATTATATTTTGCTTTGATTGCTATATTTTGTATATATTTTTGTTTCTACTGTTGTGGAAGCGATTTCTTCGTCGCTTTTGGATATTTCGGAATATTTATATTCTTAATTAAATTTGTTTTTTATTGGAGTTTAATATTTTTATTGCTATTATTAATTATTTGTTTTCATGTTTTTTTATTTATCTTTTTTTTAGTTTTTTATTTATTATTTACTTTTTACTATTTTTTAATTATTTTTTCAATATTTAAACGTTTTTGAAAAATATTTTATATTTCTTTTTTAAAGTTGGCTTTTTAAAAGACTTGAATACTTTTTAAAAAACGAATTATTAATTTATTATTCCAGAGGGGATATATATAATTGTTAATTCTAATTTTTTTATTTTTATTTTTATTTTTTTTCAGTTTATATTATAAAGTAAATATAATTATTTATAATAAAAACTTAATCTTAAAATAATTAATTTATAAAGTTTTTTGTTTAATATTTATTTTTGATTTATTGTACAAAGAAAATAAATTTTAATTAAAATTATAATTTGGAATTTAAAACAAAACAAAAACATCTTTTTTTTTATTAAATATTGTAATGAAAAATAAAATTAATATTTCCTTTAGTGTTATTTTTTAATTTTAAATAAAAAATAATATAATAAATAGCAAAATGTATTGCTTATATTTATTTAAATAAAAAAAACCTTTAATAATAAATAAAAGAAAATAAGGTATTACATGATTTTAATGAAACATTTATTAATATAATTAATACAATTTGAAAGTAAATATATAATTTATAATTATGGTATTTAAATTTTAATTTTTTATAAAAAAAATTTTAATTGTAAATGTACTACAAATATTTAAAATTCTACTTATTAAACAAAAAAAAATATTATAATTTTAGAATATGCTTAAATTAAAACAATAACTTAAATATATAATAATTTAAAAATACTATACTATAAGAATATAGATAATTAACATTTAAAATAAAATATATATATATATTAAAAAAAATTATATATATATATATTTGTATATTAATATAATAAAAATAAAATAATAAATAATTTCATATTTATAAAAAAAAAGTTAAAAATTATTGATAAAAAATGAATTAATAATATTAGTAAAAATATTTTTTATTTTAATTAAATTAAAAAAAATAAAATATTTTTTATTAATTTGTTTTAAAAAGTGATATAACATTGAAGATATTAATTATTGGAAATTCGAATGTAGGAAAAACATGCATGGTTATGAGATATTGTGAAAATCAATTTACAAATGAATTTTATGCAACAATAGGAGTTGATTTTAAGACAAAAAATTTACAAATTGATGATAAGATAATAAAATTATAAATTGTAAAATTAATATAAATAAATAAATAAAAATAATATTTTAGTGGGATACAGCTGGATAAGACAGATTCAGAACAATAACGAATAATTATTATAGGTTTTTTTATTATCATGATTTAAGCAAAAATAGTTTTTTATACTTATATAAAAAGAGGTGCAAATGGTATTTTAATTGTATATGATATAACAGATAGAGATTCCTTTTAAAATGTTAAATAATGGATGTATGAAATTGAAAAGTAATATATTTTAAAAAAAATAAAAAATATTTATTTATTGGCTTATAATTATAAAGAAATGCTAAAGAGAATGTTTAAAAAATACTTGTTGGAAATAAATGTGATTAAAATGATTAAAGATAAGTTGATTATGAGGAAGGATTACATTTATGTATTTTTAAATTTTATTTTGTTATTTTTTAAAATATAAATTATCAGCTTAATAATATAATCTTACTTTCTTTGAAGCTTCAGCTAAAAATTCTCATAATATAGAATTATCTTTTTAAACATTAGTAAAGAATATGTAAAAAATTTAATATAATATTAAATTTTATATATATTATAAAAATAAAAGAGTTGAAAAGGGTGGATTTCCATAAAAACATCAAGGATTAAAAATTGGTAGAAACTATAATTAAAAATAAGTTGAAATTAATAGACCATAAACATAAAAAAATTGTTGTTGTTGAAATATTATTAATATATATATATACATATATAAAAATTAGTTTTATATTAACATTTGTATATTCTGTTAAATATTTTTTTTATCAATATTTTTATATACTATTTATAGCATTATATTGTTTAATAAATATATAATTTTAAAAATTTTAATTAAATATTTTAGAGAAAAAAGAAAATAAAATCAGAGATACTAGATTTTTATTTTTAATGAAAATTATTGAGAATTTAATATTCTAAAATAATATTAAGGTTATCAACAACTGAAATTATTTATAAATATTACTATAATTATGAGAAAAACATATTTTTAAATAAAAAGATAAAATAATAATACATAACTATATTTAAAATTTACTTAATTAAATTATTATTTATCAATTTATATACAAAATATATAAATATAATCACTATAGTAAACATTAAAATTATAGGTATATCCCATTATAAAAATAGTTAATTTAGCATTGAAGAAGATTTTACTATTCTCTGCATATTCTGCTATTTTATTGTAATATTCATAAAAGTACCTGCTGATAAAACTTTTGAACACGTGGATCTAACTTTGATCCATTGATATAAAATTCTTGCATTTAATACTGTGTTAAATATTAGTCATATTTTATTAAATTATTTTTAAAATTTTTTATAAATAAATAGAAAAGATAATTAAGTAAAGTTCTAATTTAAATTCTTAGATAATATTATGATAATTAAAAATAATTCGCTAAATATACGAAGCATTATAAATATTATTTTTTTTAATATTTTTTATTTTTAATAATTTTTTTTTTTATAGGCTTAATCAAAAACAAAAAAAGCCCAAGTAAAAATATAACGCCCTTTTTATTATATTATTTTATATAAATAGAAATAATTTCAAAAATAAAAAAACTTATAAATAAGTAATATATAAAATATTTTGAATAATTTAAATGAATTTTTAGAAAATATTTAATTTATTTTGATATAATAAAATAAAGATAATATGATTCTTATTAGATGTATCTAATTATTAAATATACATTTATTTATTAAAATTTAATTATAAATTATATAATATAAAAATATTTAAAGAATAATGAATAAATTAATATTTTTATATATTATAAATAAAAAAATAATTATTATTTTATAAAAATTAAAAAAAAAAATTAAATTGATATATTATAGATATGAAAAAAAAGTAAAGCACATATAAATTATAACTATATTTTTAAAAAGCTATTTAATATGATTATAATATTATTATATATATAAATTGTAAAAAATAAAAATTATAATATAAAAAAAAATTTAAAATAAAAATATATAATATTTTTTTATATAATTATAAAAATAAAAATACATTTATAATACAAAAAAAATTTAATAAATATAAATTATATATATAATAGTTTTTGTTTATACAAATATTTTAATTATTGAAATATAATTGTATTTAAATTAAAAATATTTGTATTATATTTAAAAAAAATATATATAATATTAATTAAAATATTAAAAAATATGATTAATATTTTTATATATAATAAATATAATCCTTTAGAAATAAAATGATAAATATATAACATTAAAAGCAAGCAAAATAAAAAAAAAAATGATATTACTTTAACTTAAATTACTATAAAATCTAATTTCATAACAAACATAAAAATTAGATTTTAATTATAAATAAAAATTCAAATATAAATTTTATATATAATATAAAGAAAAAGGCAAATAAAGATAAAAAAAACATATACGCAAAGAAGATATCAAATAAAAAAAGTTAAAAATAAACAATTGTTATAAAAATAATAAATAATATAATTGTTATTATTATTATTATTATTATTATTATTATTATTTTATTATTATCATTTTTTATTTAAAAAAATTACTTTAAAATACATTTTTATTATAAGTTTATAACTTATTAACTCTCTTTTAATATTAATTTATTTTTAATTTATTAAAATCTTTTATATAAAATATTAATCATTTATACTGCTAATTCAAATATATTTGTTCTTTATATAATCAATAAATTAAATTCTAATTAGTTTATAAAAATAAATAAGTTTTATAATTAAATATATATTTCTAATAAATTAAAAATCTAACTATTAATAAAATATAAACTAATTATAATATTCTAATATTAAATATAATTTTGTTTTATTAATATATGCTGTGAATTAAAAAATATTTATTAAATTATAAATAATTTTTATTCTTAATAAGTAAATATTATATTTAATGTAGATTAATAAAATATAATAAATATTATAATTTAAAAATAATTAATTCCATTAAAATTTAAATTTTTTTTTTTCAAATTTCTTTTGAAAAAAAATACTATGATTAACTAAATAAACGGATATATGAATAATTTTATATTTTTAAAAGCAAATCATGTATAACCGATATCAAAAAAATATTCAATAATATGGTATTATATTATTTTTTAAAAAAATTATTAATGGCATTTTATAATCAATTTAATTTAATAAATATAAAAAACATTATAAACAAATAAATAAAAAATAATAATAAATGTAAAATATAAATTTTAGATTATATAATGATTGAGAATTTAAATATATAAAATAAAAATGTTTTAAAAATATTTTATTATAATTTTATTTTAGTAAATAAAGTAATCTTTCATGGAAAAAAAATATATAAATTAAAATTATATTAAAAATATAAAAAAAAAATATAAAAAAAATTATTATAAGATTAAAAATAATATTAATTATTATAAAAAATATATGATGGTATTAAAGATATAATAATTCTTGTTTTTTTTATAGCAGAATATATATAATAGTTTAAAAATAATGATAAATGGATAATCTAATAATAATTTTATTATTTTTATTTTTAAAATAAAAATTAGAAATAAAGTTTTTTAAACAAATAATAATAAAAAAAAATTATATATTATTAAAAATTAAATATACTTCTAAAAAAACAATTAGTAAGATATGAAAAGCAAAGAAAAAAATTAAATATAATAATAAATAATTTAATATTAAATATTATAATTTATAAATTATAATTTATATAAATAAATATATATATATATATATATATTTTTATATTTTTCATATTTATATATATTATTATTTAGAATTTTATATAAATAAATAAATACAAATAATTATTTACTGAGTTTCTAATCATGGAAACTTCAAAGCCATCAAAACTTGGAAAAAATTAGTTTTCATTAACTTCTTACAATATTTTAGCAGATTTATATACAGATTAGAGATATTTCCCATATTGCCCTATATAATATTTAGATTTTAACTATAGAAAGTATAAAATTGTAAAAAAAAAATATTCGAAAAATTGTCGTTCTCAAAAAAAAAAAAACAAAAAAGGTTGATTAAATTAAAAAATGTGATAGTGACATAGTTTGCTTATAAGAAGTTGATCATTTTCATGATTTTTACAATTTAGAATTCGATAAAATGGGATATGAATGTATTTACGTATAAAAAATTAACCGTGAAGAAGGTCTTTTGACTATATTTAAAAAAGGAATATTTACATTAGCTTTTTAAAACGAAATTATGTTTGATTTAAAAATTCCTTTAAAACTAGCTAAAAACCATTACACTAGAAATAATTTATGCTAGTTTATTTAACTTCGGCATAATTACTCTAACAAACAAATACTTATCGCAAATACTCATCTTTACTGGGACCCTAGATGTGAAGAAGTCAAGTTTTTATAGGCTTCTGTTATTTTGGAATACTTAAGTACTTAATTTAGTATTAAAGATAATATTTTTTTATGTGGAGATTTTAACTCTATGCCATCATCAAATGTCATTAAATTTATAGAAGAGAAAAAAGCGCCTAATATTAGTAGAATCGAAAATATTTTTCAAAAAAGAGTTAAAATGACTGACGAAGTAATTATTTATGATTTATTCAAATAAAAAGCTACTATTAATCTTAAAAGTTCTTATTCTAATTATTAAGGAACAGCTTAACATCCAGATTTTACTAATTATACTTAGAATGTATATTTTTTACTTTTTTTAATAAAATAATTTTTTTTTTCCTTTTTTTTCTATTTTTAAAGTTTAAAGGAGCTCTTGATTATATTCTTTATAATACTTCTATGGAAGATTGTAGGCTAATTGGAATATAACCATTACCTATAAATGAAATTTAAAAAGAGTTGGGATTGCCTAATGCAGACTATCCCTCTGATCATTTACCAATTACAGCTTACTATGAAATTTAAACTAATTGAAAGTCATTATTATATGTATTAGGGAAGGAAAAAAAATTAGGAAGGATTTGAAAATATATATGTATGTTTTAAATATACATTTATAAATATATATATTTTAAATTGGAGGAAAAAATTTTTTTTTTTGTGAATTTAATTTTTAATTTATTATAATACTATTTGTTTATTTTATTTTGTTTGGTATTGTATATATTTTGGTAAATATCGCTTTCATTGCTTAGATTTAAATGAAATATTTTTATATTTAAATTATTCATTTAATTTTAAAATAAATGAAAAAAAGTATTTATGATTTTTAATATAATTAAATTTAAATTATTATATTATTATATTATATTTAAAAAAAAGTTTTTTTTTTTTTATTTTTTTTTGAATAATTATTAAAAAAAAGAAAAAAATATAATTTTTTGTATTATATTTAGATAAATTAGTTTTTAAATAATATAAATAAAATAATATATATATTATAAACTTAAATATTAATAATTAAAAATATTTTAAAAGTTAAATAGCTAAATATTAAAATTTTATAAAAATTAAAAGGTCTTAATTAAAATAAAAATATTTAAATAATATCTATTTAAATTAAAAAATATAAATTTTTAAAACTTTAAAGAAGTAAAAAAAATTATAATCAAATTTATAAAAAATTAATTAATTTATTTAAAGAATTAAGTAAATAATTTCTAATTTTTTTAATAATATCAAAATCATATTACCTTTTATATAATATTAATATATATATTAATACTTTATATAGATAATATAATATAATATTAAATTAAAAATTAAATTACATTTATTTTTAAATTTATTCAAAATTATTCTTTTATTAAGAGTTTTCTTTTAAATTTTCTTCTAAATCAACCTTTAAATATTCAAGATGAATAAAGCTTTATTCCATAATTTATTTTGATTAAACAATAATATTTTCTAAATTTTTAATATCTTCAATTAATTAATTTTTTAAAAATACTAATTTATTTAGATTTTCTAAATATGTTGCTTATAAACTTTCCCAATCTTATTTAAGTAAATTTTCTAAATTATCAATTTCAATTTATTATCTTTAACCGTATTTCTCAAATTTTACAAAAGTTAGAGTATTTTTTCTACTTTCTAATAATCTAAATTCGAATAAGAATTAATTTGGTTAAAAATATTTATAATTGGTGACAATAGATGTACGCTTTTTTAATGCTAGAGCAATTTTTTTATTGTTTATTCATATTTTTATTAAATTTAAATAAATGAAACTCCATTTAACATATGTTCAATTAATTTTATTGCTTCATTTAAATTTTCTAATAAGCCCTCATTATGTTAATTATTTTCTTTATATTTATTTTCTTTGTTTTCTCTATCTTATTTGCTTTTATTAATAATCAAAGTTTACTATTAGTTTATTATTTTGAAATTATTTATTTTAATTTTTGTTTTTTTTTACTATTTCATAATCTCTATTATACTTATCTAAAGTTTTTTTTTATTAATATAATTTATCTTGATTTTCTGTAAGTAATTTTTAGTTTTATTCAAATAAATTTTAAATTTCTTATTGTCTTGTTTATAATTAAGAGATTCTTTAATTGCTTTAAGTCATATACTAAGTATATTCATACTATTTTTCTATAAAATCTTATTTCATATTTTCTAATATAGAATCTAATAACTCTAAAAGAGAATTTTCAGTTTATGAGTATTTTAAATTTAATTTTACCATTGAAAGTATAGTAGAACCAAAAGGATCTTATTTTAACTTTTTTTAATTTTTCATATTATTATCATTATATTTTTTACTTCTATTAAATTTTAATAATCATATGTTTCATTACATTTATATTTTATTGAAAAAATTAATATTATTAAAAAAATATATTTAATCATTTTTTTATTTAATTTTTTTTTTTTTTAAATACAATTATTAATTGAACTACTTAATTTATTTAATAAAATTTATATATCTAAAGAAAATTATATGAATAGAATTATATTAATTATAATTTAATTTTAAATAAAATAATTAAATTATGATGAATTATATATATTTCAATAAAATGTATTTTATTCCAATTTATATATATATAAGTAATAAAAAAATAATATATTTAATTTTTTTTTGATTTTACGTTTTAGAATTCGCCAAAATATATATCAAAAACGTTAGAAAAGCAAAAAAAAAACAAACTATATAAAGCAAATTCTCCTTTAAGTAATAAAATAAAATACTAAATACAAAAAATAAAAAAATATATTACGTTTTATAAAATAAATAGTTTTCTAAAAAAAAAAAAAAATAATAAAAAAAAAAATATTATAAAAAATAAATTAAAAATATATAAATAAAAAAACAAATAGTAAAAATAAAAACTAAATCAAAATTAAAAAAATGAAAACATAACTAATCAGTGTTTTATTATTAATAAACTTAACTTTGTCATCTGCCGTCTTTTTACAAAAGCCAAGATCTGCCAGCAACAAGCAATTCGAAATCTTCTCTTCCCTCCAAAAAGTAGAAATGATAGATTTCGGAAAAAGAATTCTCGATACCATCGCTTTACAACTAACAAACAAAGTCCCATTAGCGGAAGTTGCAAAAGTCCTCAGTTAATTAAAGCAAGACTTAGAAAAACAATAAGCTGACGCCGATGTCCAACATGGAAACGACGAAGCCAACTGCAGAACCGAAACCGAAAGATACGAAACTAATATTGCCAACGCAGCTATAGTTAGAGAGAATTCTGCTGAAGCATTGAAAGTATTAGAAGCTGAAATCGGATAATTAGAAAACAGTATTGCTTATTTAGACAGATAAGCAGTTGAATTAGAAAAGAGATTAGATGCCTACAAAGGATCTCGTGAAAGAGATAATCAAAGATACAATGAACACAGAGTTTAATAATTATAAGTTGTTGAAGCTTTAGAATTAATTATTGATAGATTATCTTAAATTAAACCCGAAAGTAGTGAAGAAGCTCTCCTTTAACTCTCTAAAATAGGAAAAAGTAACCCTATTTTATCCTTAGTTTAAGTCGCTTCTACTTTCTCAGCTGAATCTTTAGCTAATGTAGTTGGTAAACTTAATTCTTTAAGAGATTCTCTTAACTAATCAATTAATAATGAAGAAACTTAAGAAAGTAAATCTAAACACGATTATGAAGCTTTAGTTATTGAATAAGAATAGACTCTTAATAATGTTATTACTCATAGAGCTTAATAATCACTTGAATTATAATCAAAGAAATAAGGACATGATTTCCATTCCAATAGATATAAATAAGCTATTGCCGAACATTAATTCAACGTAGAAGGATTAGCTAAATTAAATGAATCTTGTGCTAATTTAAGATCTATTTATGAAAAAACTTCCGTTGTTAGAGGTGATGAAATCAAAACTATTGTTTAAGTTTAAAATATTCTTGCTACTAAACTTGAAACCATGAAAGATTATCTAAAGTAAAGAGCTGAAGCTGATGAATGATTGTTAAACTGATATTTTTTATCCTTTTTTTTTTTGTTGTGTTTTTTTTTTTTTTTTCTATATTTTTAAAAATTTAAGAATTTTTAGTATTAAATTAGAAAAAAGAAAATTATAAAAACAATTAAATATATTAAATATATATTATATAAATATGTTTTTTTTTTTTCTTGATTTAGTAGATGATTTTTTTATTATTTCTTTCTTTTAAACAAATAAATTATGAACAAAAAAAAGTTTAGTAAATTAGTTTTTTTTTATAAATAAAAGTCATTTTTTATATTTATATTAAAAAACTAATATATTAATATGCTTTTTATAATATAAATATTAAAAGATAATACATGTTATATATATTTTAATAAATAAAAATATAATATAAAAACAAAAGAAATAAAGAAATGTATTTTATTTTTTAGTTTATTACTAAATACCTTTTAGGTTTCAATCTAATTCATATGCAAATGTTTAATTTGTAAAATCTAAAAATTATAAAATATTTTTTTGTAATCCTTCTTAAGATAATTTAATAATTTATGTATCATCTTCTTTATTATCAAAATCTTCTTTATTAACAATATTATTATTATTATTATTATTCATATTATTTTCTTTATTATTATTATTTTCTTAATTATTATTATTATTTTCTTTACTATTAATATTATTATGTTCGCTATTGTTTTTTTCTTAATTAACTTCTTTTTCTTTTTCCATTTCTAATTTCATAATAATTTACTTATCATCATCAATATCATCAAGATTATTTTCATTATTTTCATTTTATTTGATTTCTACTTATAAATCTTTTAATTTTTAATTTTCTTCAAAAACCATTTTAAAAGTTTCATAATCATCTGTTTTTTAAATAAAATAAATTAAATATTAAATAATAAAAAAAATGCCTTAATGTTATAAAACATCATTTTTTTCCCAATATTAATCATCAACTTATTTATGAATTTTAAAAACAATATAATCAACAACCTATGTACATTCTGATTAAGCCAAAACAATAGGTCTTTTGAACTCTATTCTCGAAAAAAGTACACTGTTACCTTAATAAAAACATTAAAAGAAAAGTTTATCTTCAAAAATTAAATATTTCGTCATTTCTTTATCATAACTAGGAATATTATAAATAATAAAGATTTTATCACTAGTTTCTTATGTCTTATATTCCAATATTTCATATTTATTTTATTATTATTATTTTTCTTCTATTTATTCCTCTCCATATTTTTCTTGTTCTTCTTTTTTATTATTAAAATCTTATTCTTATAAAACTTCAATAACTGGATTTTCAATATTAATTTATCCTTCAATGAAGATTTCGTTTGTTTATTAATTAAAAATATTTAAGTTTACATTTTTTTAATTGTTATTCATTTATAATAAAGGTTCTTTATTTTCCTTCTGGTCTTAATTTTCTTCTTTATTTAAATTATCTTCATAATTTAAGTTTTTTTCATTATCATTTTATATTTTTTCTTATTTTTCTATTTTAATAGTTTCTAATTCATTTGTTTCGAATTCTTTATATGTTTTACCAGGGATAGGATTATCGGGTAATTTAGATTTATTTATAGGTAATTTAATTCTCAAAACTTACTTTTTTGAGTCAAATTTAGCATTTCCTTCATCCTACATTACATAATAAGGTAATTTTGTATCCAAAAAATATTTGTTTGGAATATTTAAAACTAAATTTTTTTCTTCTATATCAACATTAATTTCTTTAAAACTAGTCTTTTTTTATAGTTATTTGAATTAAAATATAATACTATATATATATATATATATATATATATATATATATATATATATATATATATATATATATATATATACGATTCCAGGTAAATTTATAACTAAAGTAAGTTCTATAGGTCTTTTTAATGCTTACTCTTCCCTTCTATCTAAAAAGTCCTTTGTTTATATTTTTTTTAGTTTCTATAAATTATATTACTTCATAATTAACAGGATAAGAGTAAACTATTTTATATTTAGGAGCTTAAATAGGAGCACTTTTATCGAAAAATTCATCTTTTTTTTACTCATTTAGTTCGTCTTCAATATCTTCTAATTTTTTATTTTTATTATTTTCTTGTTATTATTTTTCTATATGTTCTTATTTTTATTTCACTAAATCTTTATATAAGGAAGGTTCATAACCTTCTCCATTTTACCTTTTATCCATTTCGCTTTATTTATTTTTTCCTGAAGTTCTTATAGCCAAAAATGCAGGAGTACCTCCTTTGCATTTCATATTTTTAAGAACCTGAAAAAAAATAAAAAATTATAAAAAAAAAATAAGAAAAACCTTATAATCTCTAGAAATAGTTTCATTTCTTTCTCCCATTTATTATGTTGCTGCGTCTAAAGCAGTTTAGCAAATTAATTATTAAAATTAATTATTCATTTTAGCTAATTAAAACGCATAGGGATGAAAAGCGACATCTATAGTATTACATACTTCTTATTTAGAATCTTAATCATAACGCATTTTTCCTGCTGAAAAAGGTAGTTTCCAATTCTGTCCTTACTTTCCGTCTTTTACTACTAAATCGAAGGTTGGTAAATCTATTTAATTTATTCTACAAATATTAATAAATAATTTTTAAGAAGATCCCTTTTTATTTTTTTATAATAATAGCATTTTTTTTTTACTTTATCTTTTTTAGAATATATTATTGTCTTTATTGCGAATTCTGCTAATGGTTTTACTAATTTTAAACCCTTTGGCAGATCTCCTTCTTTTTAAAGTTATTTTAAGTATTGATCATATTCCTTTTTTTTATATTTAGTATTATTTTTTATTTGATTTGTATATACGTCTTTGTTTTTTGGGTCTGAAATTTCTAACATATAATCATTTAACAATCCCATAAATTCAGGTTTTTTCATAGCATTTTAAATTCTTCGGAATTCCTTTATTTTATTTTTTTTACTTATTTTTTGGAATAAATATAATTATTTTACATCTTTTGTCATATCAGATGCTACATTGCTTTTTAAATGTAATGGAGGTTAGGGTTTCATTTTTTTATGTATTTTTTTTTTTTTTTCCTTGTTTTTTTTTATATAATTTAAATTTTTTTTTTTAATGATTAAAAAATTAGAAATGAAAAAAAAGAATTTTTTTTTTTTAAAAAAAAAAAAAAATATTTCTTAAAGAAAAAAAAGATTTTTTTTAAAAAGAAAAAAAAAAGTAACAAAACTTATTTATTTAAACAAAATTATTATATTGATATATGTTATATATTAAAAAAAAGTACAAAATTAAACATTAAAAGTAAACAAAATCATTATTTTTTAAATTATTATTATAAATATAAATTAGCTTGAACAGAACTAACTAATCCACACAAAGAGCAACACAAAAATTCCGAAAAATTAATTTTTTTACACATCTAGCACACAAACTTACTTTTTTCTCTATTTTTCATATCTTTTAATTACAAACTGTTTTTCAAATTCTTATTAATTTAATCCAAAACACCCTAATTAGCACTTTCAATTTATTTATTTTATAATTCCAAGCTTTTCTAATCTATGCATTTATTTTAAAATACCAAATTGCATCCAGCATGCATATAAACACTTTAATTATTAAACAACGGACTATTAAAAATATTTGCATTCCCCATAACTTAAACTCCATTTTCTTTTATAATTTAATGACAATAAAAACATGAATAAGGATGATGTAAATTACAAAAATGTTCACTTCCATTAATTGTGCATTTAATTTCTTCAAAAGAAAGTTCTTTTTTACATTTAGTGCATTATTTAATTTCTTAAAGGAACGAAAGATCAGCTTCAGTAGATTAAGTTGATAATGAAAAAGAATCATTTATTAATTATTATTATTTAACAATTTAAACATTAGTATCCATATCAACACCTCCTAATACATATTTCCTCTATACACTTTTAGTAGATTAAATATCGTAAAAAACTTAATTTCCTCCATTTTATTTGATTATATGTTCTAAGACTTTCTAAATATTATTTTCTGAAGTTTCCTATTTATTTTTTTATAAAAATCTAAGAGCCACAGTCCTTGAGTTAACTGGAATTTTTTCTTATTTTTCTGTTTCAATTTCTTCTTTTTAAATAATGGCTTGAATTTAATTTTAATAATTCTCTAATTTTTATTCTTTTTATATTATTTTCTCCACTTCTCCTAAAAAATTAATATTTCTTCCAATTTTCTAAATAATAATCTTAGCTAAACCATGTGCCTTATATAAGCTTTTTAATTTCTCAAAAACAGGGTATTCCTTCTCTACTATATCCATATTTTCCGAAAGACTTCTTGCAAATTAAAAACAAACATCATTCTTGTCCTAAACTACCTTATCAATTAATTTTCCTTCCTAATTTTTCATCATTTATCTCGCTTCCACTTTAATTTTAGCATCTCCAGTACAAAAAAAAGACCCGTCTTTTTCTTCTATTTATATTTAAGGACATACAAGCCATAAACGACTCCAAGAACTTTAACTTTCCCCGTTTTTTTTTTTAATTTCCTCTTTTAAAAGTTCCGGTATATTCTTAAAATTCCTCTTCTAAAGTTCTTTTGGGTATTCAAAAGGTGTTTTAGAATCTGGCTTTAGTCCTAAACTCATTTATTTTAACAAATAATCGCATTCGAACATTATTTCGCTAAATTTAGTGCCTTCAAGTAACTTTTTATTCTCAAGAAAATCTGGATAAACTACTTTTCGTTAATAAGGACCTTCCGGATTATTCTCATCCCATGGATCTAAGGAAAAGCTTATGTTTTTGACTTTAATTGTGGGATCTAAATATACTTATAAGCATAAAATTAAATGTTAAAAATGTATATTTGGGATATTTTAGGGTCCAATGATTAATTTGAAATTATTTATTTGTTTTTAAAAAGTGATTCCAATAATATTTTGCACATTAAGAAGTTTTTAAAGGTCATTTTGGTTAAATTTCTATTATATTTTTTATGGTTAACTAGGTATATTTTATAAATGAGAAATTAATTAGGGGGTTATCAAAGCATCGGGATATAAATTTTCTGCTTTTTAATATTCTAGAATTTATTATTCAAGATTTTCTGTGAGAAATCCATCTAATTGAATTTTTTACTTGTTTTTTTAAGACAAAAGTTCTTGAAGTTTAACAACAATTTCGTTTTTGTCAAATCTTTTTGGAATAGAAAATTATTGCTAAATTTTAGTATTTATTTCAGGTTTTTTTTAAATATAACATTTTTGGTTGAATTTTTTAAGGTTTTATTTAAAAAAAAAATAGGTTTTTTCATCTTTTTCATACTTTTTTAATTCAGATATTGTTCGGATTGATAAAGGCGCATTCTCTTCTATTTCTAAATATTAATTTAGATATTTCTGGAATTCTTGTGAGTTATTTTCTAGAATATAAGCTAGTATATAATATATTAATTACTCACAAGTTAATTCGTATAAGCGGTTTTTGCAAAAAATAAATTCGATAATTCTATTACTGTCTTTAGGAATGTTTTTATTATTTTAATAGGATTCATATAAAGATAAATCATATTAGGGAATTTTTGTAAAATCTTATTTAGAGTTTTAACTTAGATTTTAGATTATTTGACTAAGAGATATGCTTGAGAAATTTATTTCCATTTTAATTTTTTTTATTCTTGGTATATTTTATGAGTTTATTTTCCTTTTTTTTTATTTTAATTAATATTAATTTTTTGATATTTTATTTTATTCTATTTTCTTTTATTTTTATTTTCTAATTTTGATAAAATTTACTTTTTTTTTTGTTTTTTTGTTTTTTTAAATATTTAAAGCAAAAAAAATATTAAAGTTTTAAAACAATACAAATCTTTTTAAAAAGAAAATAAGAAAAAATGTAAAATGATATTGATAAACAGTTAAATATTTTGCAAAACGGTGAACTTTTAAAAGAAAACGAAGTAAAAATATTATGTGCACGGGTAAGAGAAGTTTTTATAGAAGAAAGTAATGTGTAAAGAATAGATTCTCCAGTTACAGTAAAAAAGAAAATAAAAAATAAGCACAAAAATATAACTATTTAATTAAAAATATTCACAAAATTTTAAGATTTGTGGTGATATACATGGATAATTTTATGATTTATTAGAATTATTTAAAAACGGTGGTTTATGTCCTGATATTAATTATTTATTTCTTGGTACAAAAAGCATAAAAATTAATTTTTTTTAAAAAAGACATATTACATTTTAATATGTTTTTTTTTTTTTTTCTTTAATTTTTTTTTTTAAAAAATAAATATAAGAAAATTACAGAAAAAAAATAAAAAAAATATAAAATTTATATACTTTTTATTAAAATAAAAAGGTGATTATGTAAATAGAGGACATCATAGTATAGAAACGATAATTTTCTTATTTGCATTAAAAGTAAAAAATATATATTCTAAGCTAATAATTATTTTTTTCAAATTTATAAAAAATAAAAACAATAATATTAATAAAAATAAAATATTTTAAATTATTATTATTTTTAAAACAATTCTATTAATAAAGATAAAATATTCAGACAGAATAACTCTTTTAAGAGGAAATCATGAAAGTAAAATTATTACTTAAGTATTTGGTTTTTATGATGAATGTTTAAGAAAATATGGAAGTTTAAATGTATGGAGATATATAACCGAAGTTTTTGAATATATGACGATTTCGGCACTAATTGACGATAAAATATTTTGTACACATGGAGGAATTGCTTCTGATGTTAAAAACTTAGATGATGTAAATATATATAGCTTTATTAATATATAAAAAAAAACAAAGATTAGATAATTAGATAGAGTTAAAGAAATACCTGCCTAAGGAGAAATGTGCGAATTGTTATGGAATGACCCTGAAGAAAATACTAAAGGATTTAAAGAAAATTAAAGGGGGCATGGAAAAACATTTGGATAAGATGTTTTTAATTAATTTTTATAAATAAATAACCTAAATAAAATGATAAGAGCACATCAATTAATTATGGAAGGATATAAATAAATTTGGGATGAATCTTGTGTTACAGTATGGTCTTGTCCAAATTATTGTTATAGGTTTTTATTTTATATATAATATGAAAGCTTTAATTTATATATAGATGTGGAAATATTGGTTCTATAATGTAAATAAAACATAATAATGAAATTAATTTTAAAACTTTTGATGCTTCTAAGGTATTTATTTATATATTATTTTATATAGAATTTATATCAAGCTTAATTTAATTTTTAAATATTAAGGATTAATTGAAAGGAGCAGGAACTAAAATGTCTAGTAATGTACCAGATTATTTTTTATGAATATTTTTTATTTATTTAATTATTTATTTTTATAATTAATTAATACTAATTAATACTCTATATTAATTTCTAAATTATTAATATAAATTTTATAACAAAAACAATAATAAATTTAATATGAATATTTTTTTTTGTGTATTTTAATAATTAGCATTAATGAAATCATCTTATTAATAATATTGTTGCATAATATTAAAATCCTTGATATTTATTAATTGATTTCTATAATTTATAAATATATAAGAAAAAATTAACTATGAAATTAATATATAAAAAAATAATAATAGAAAAAAATAATTATCAATTTAAAATAACAAGAAAATAAATTAAAATTAAAGAAACTAAATATATATAGGTAATTTATTATTTTAAAAATTAATATCAAGTTTTTAAATTATGTATAAAAAATAATATAATGAATATAAATATATTATTTTATATAATTATTAAATTTATACATTTTTTCTTCCAAAAAGATATTTAATTATATATTTTTTTTTAATTTTACTTAAAATATGTTATTCATTCTATTAATATAATAAAGAATATTTTTAAAATAATAATAATAAAATAATATTAAAAAAAAGAAAATCATATATTCATTAAAATTGTAATTAATTTAATTTAAAAATTCTTATTAACATTTTGTTGATTATATTTAATATTATAAATAGATCATATTATAATAAATAATTAAAATTAAAAAAAAAAAATATTTATTTAAATAAAAATAATATTATTTTAAAAATAATTCGAATGTTATTATATATAAAATTATTTAATTTTTTTATTTTTTTAATAATATAAAATGATTTCTATATAAAAAATAAAATAAAAAAAATTAAATTTAACTTTATATAAATTATAATTTTAATCGGTCATAAAATACATATATAAATTTAGTTTCTAAACAAAATATAAAATTATATTATAAAAAATATATATAGATAAAAATAAAAAAATTTATATATAAATTTTTTTTTTTTTTTTTTTTTTTAATTTTAATATAT